ACCACGAGGAGGAGGAGGAGTCACTACTCCTGTTTGCTGGAGCTGGGAGGATTCCGAATGACGGACGTGCTTGGCTGCATTTTGGTGTGTGTGCGTCAGAAACAGGCGAGAACTGGGAACCAGAGGGAACGAGTAGATGTACCCGGTGCCCGTTGATTGAGGCACTCGGCCTCCGCGGGGGCAGCTCCCAAATGATGAGTGACACCGAAACAATGTGCTGCCGTCGCCCGCGGCTCACTTTCGTTTTCGTGGCCCTGACACCGCCATGCGCGATTCGCGGTTCGCGATTGGGATTGCGATTGCGATTTGCGATACGGTTTTCCAGAGCACAGCTCCCCCGGCAACCTTCACGCACATTCAGTTCAAGTCAGCTGGGCGTAATCGTTCTCTGTGGCACATAAGTCCCAGGTCCCAGGTGGTCCAGCGGTCAAAGCCTTTGGTTTTATTTTAAAATGGGTTTTTGAGAATATAAAGAGTCATGGTATTAATATTCAGAGTGCGAAATATTCATAAAAATTGGGTTCAGTTCATAAATGAGAATAAATATGGTAAAAAGGGTACAAAAATGCATTTTATGACAAAGTTAACACAAAGAAAAAACGGAATGGAAAGCGAAATTCGACAGTAAAGTACCTTGTAATCAAAGTATTTTGGATGAATATAAAATCGTTAATTCGTTTTGTTTGATTTCACTGGAATTTATGGAAAATTTATGAAAAACTTACATTAAAAATGGCGTAACGCACATGAAATGTTGCCAAATAAAGGCAAATGTTGCTAGCCACATGTTGCACAACAGCCAAATAAAGATTAAGAAATAAAAGGTTGCCAGAAATAAATTTACTTGCAAATAAAGTTAAAAAAATGCAATTAAAGTCCACTTTTTGAGACATTGTAAAAAAATAATAAACAAACAAACAACATATTGCTTCTAAAGTATATTTTACTTGAAGCCTAAAAAACCATTAAGCCGTGTCCACATTGTCAACTAAATGGTGACTAAAATATACAATTTTATTTAACTTTTTAAAATAATCAATATCCCATTGCATTTATTGTTGTATTTAAAAGCCTCTGACATTTTGACTGCATTCGTCTGTGTCAGTGTTTGTTTGTTTTACGGCAGCAGCAACAAAAGCAACAATTAATATTGCTTTTATTGTTATTGTAGGCTGTAAATTTTTGAAACAACGTTGCCGACTCTGACGACGCTGACATCGATCGGCGCTGACCTTCTCAAGTTTGTTTGTTTTGCCTTGTTGCGACGCTTCAGCTTCAGCTTCAGCTTTTGCTTTTGCTTTTGCTTTTGTTGGGGCCAAAGTTTTATTTGTTTGCTCAACTTGCCTCGCTGTAAGACCCCTGAGAGGCACAATGCTGCGTGCAATGCTCTCAAAATAGAAATCCAATGTGGACGAACGCCTTGTGGAAAATCAATTTCAATTGTCTCGCACTTATCGAAAAATAAAAATGAATATATCGCATCGAGTCAATCTTTTTTTTCGCTTTGTTTGTGTTTCGGCATTTCGTTTGCACTTTGCAATTGAAAATTTCAATTGTAAATAATTGTTTAATTATCGACAATTGCAGCTGAATGACTGAGAGAGAGAGAGTAACAAAGCGTTCGTTTAGGCTGCCTGCGTCATGATTACCCTTCTCCCTTGACCCTTTTAGGCCACCGCCCATTGCACATTGCCACCCATCAAAAGGTCATAAACCAAAATCTGAGTCATGGACTTCAGTGAATGGAGAAATACATGCATATTATGGATCCCCATGTAGGCGGGATAATTAAAGAGACGAAGAGCTTGGCATTTGGCTGTGTAATTACCATGTATTTCACTCGATGTTGCATGTGTCTAATTAACCACACTGCGTATACGCAATTCATATATATATTACGTATACGACATGGTGTCCACGAACGCATTACGGCCATGAATAATACATCAATCAGTCAAATCGGATTGCATTTGCTTTTCTCTTTAAACGTTTCCCTGACGATATTGTTCAAATTGGTTATGTGGCGAAAGAGCTTGGATTTAAAAGCAGTTGCATTGAAAAAATGTGATTTAATGTGCTACAAAAAGTAAATTATAACTTACATCTAAGATAACCATTTATTTCTCTGCCTGTACTTTAAAATACTTTGAACAATCTGTGGAACTGAACTAGCGGCACTCACAAAAACTAGTTATGTCTGCAACTGCAATTGTCTGCCGTCGTCCGTCAGCTTCTCTGCTCCACTTAGCATTATTTTGCGGCTCCAACTTTCCAATCGCAGCCACTAAAACACTCAGGGTCTGTCCGTTTTCCGTTGCCCCCCGCAAACCCCTATTCCAATCCCCATCCGTTGCATGAATTTTACCAAGGCGACATCATAATTTGCGGGCCCAACCTCGCCGCATGACAAGTTGCGCCTGCCATGCGATACGATGGCCATGTTCAATCCAACGTGAGTGACTGACAGCCGCTTTGTCTAGCCAAGACTTTCTGGCCAAGACTTTCACCAAGCACACACGTACCAGAGACACTCGCATATGAGAGAAGACTTGGGCAAGACAGACAAAAAACAAAAAAGAAAAGAAATCCCTAACCTACCACACCTCAAAGTTCGAATCTGAAAAGAAAGGCAGAGGCAGTTAAGGCCATAATCAAAACAGAAATGCGAACAAATCAGCAAACGAACGTAGACTTCATTATGTTGGGCCATCAATCATGGCCAAAATGAAACGCGGATTGCCGAGTTGAATGTGCCAAGAGTCGCAGACACAGAGACACAAGAAAACTAAAGGAAAATACAAAATAAACAGTTGCCACACACAAAATCCCCGATGCCAATCCGCATCATTCCCAGCCGCCCCATAACCAGCGCCAGCCCAAAAGTTATGGCCAACAGGGAGCACACACACACCAGTCATCGACTCTTGTGGTCAAAAGATGTGGGAATGGCCAGGAGAAAGAAACAGAGAGAGAGGCAGAGAGAGAGGGACTATCGGTGGCACAATGAAGTGTTTAGTAAACAAATTGCGGTTGCCTTTTGATAATACGCAGCTCAGCTTAGCACTCCAAGGGAATGTGAAGCTGTGTGGCTCCTCATTGGGGGAGTTTTTGCTAAACGATGCAAAGCCAAAAGCAGGAGCGGGTGGCAATGGAGATGGAGGAGATGGAACTGGGCAGGGATGAGCCAAGTTATAAGTGCATTGCACCGAAATATCGATTGACGGAGCCAGCTGGAGCAGCAGCAGCAACAAAAGACGACAATCAACGCTGACGGCGGCGGGTTCAGACATTCAACTTAAAATGCGTGTGTGTGCACTGAGAAAAAGTGAACACAAGTGAGCTTAATTAACTGTGATTAGAAAGCTATTTCAGTTGTAAATTTAATTAGCATTTTTTAAGGGGTTTAAGTAGTTTCTGCTAATTGTGTCACATGCCTGACAGGGTTTTGAATCAAGTTCAAAATAGCATAAGCCGAGGTACCAGAATTTTACAATTTATGGAAAGACTTGCTTTACACTCTTATATCTATGTATACTTTTGATATATAAATATAAAGCGTATTTCTTTAAAAATCATTTCACAGATATTTCAAGTATTTTCAAGTCTCTCGCTAAAAAATTCTTCATATTCAGGTCACATTTTTCCCCAACGTGCACTCGGTCCAAGTTTGTTGGAGCATATTAAAAGGACATTGAATGTGCGGCGGGGCGTTGGGTGGCTGCGTGGGCGGTGGTGGATCCAGTTCCACTTTCAGCTCCAGCTCCAGCTCGCTCTGTTGGTTTGTCGGGCGTTGGCGTTGGCGCTTGACGGCATCAACGTCACGCAAAAAAAAAAAACCAAAGGGAAACCATAAACTCAAATTAATGACCTCAGTGGAGAGACGGAGGAGACTACGGGGACAATGGAGACAGAAGCCAATAAGACCTGCAAGAACAACAAAGTCAGGGGGGGAAACGGGGCTCCAGAAATAATCATAATAACCAAGACTAAGGAAAAAAGAGCCAACACAGAAGTCAATGTCTGGGCGTGATTTACCGTTAACAGTTTTTTGTTGTCGAAAAATGAATCTTATTGCAGGCGATTTCACTGCGATTTTCACTGCACTCACAGCACACAGACTTCTTCTGCTGAGAGAAAGATATATACAAATTGGGGCTGCCTTAAGAGCTGCTCCAAAAGCGGCAGATGGTCATGGGGATTCATTGGCTGACTTGGCCTGGCCTGGCTCCTCTCAGATCTCCATCTCAGTCGAAACTCTGCTCCGTGATTATGCAGTCGACGTCGCTCTACCATCGTCGTCGTCGTCGCCGTCGTCGTCGTCGTCGTCACAGTCGATTTGTTGTCAAACTGGTTTTACAAATATTTTGCGTTAATCTGGAAGCCCCAGCGATGTGGGGTTTATTGAGCAGGGGAATCAGTTACATTGCCATAGAGCCAAGTAAAGCTCAGTGAAAGTCCGCTTTGCCCGGCAGTCGCCTCATTTTGTTTCATTTCATCCTCGACTCCCTCATCCTCCTCCCTGCAAGTCCAGCCATCAATTCCAGCTGCCAGCTAGTTAGCTCCCAGCACACATTCAATTAGATTTAGCGCTGCCATCGGACTCCGGCACTTGGATGTATGTAGGTATATAGGTAGGTATACCAATAGCGTTGGCTTTGGCTTCCCCCGTTTGTTGGATCAGCTCATTCATGGCTCGGTATTTACAGCCAATTATGAGACAAACAAGTCCAACGTTTAACGATGGCACCGTGACACGAACCCAGAAAAAGCAAGGAAGAAGCTCGTTTGGGGGGAAATCAAAGTAGGCAGCAAGCTCAAATAAATATAAAACCCTGTAAGAACCAAATAATATTATTCTTTCACTCAACAAAGTGGCATTTTCATTTGCTATTAACTCACATCGAGATTTTTAGGACCCAATAATATTGTTTTATGACCCGAGAGTTTTATGTTCTGTTTGTATTGTAAAATATGTTTTACTGCATCTGTTCATGACTTACCTGGGCATTAAAGTCAAATAGGTATTCCGGGCGCAACGGACACGGCAGTCCGCACTTGCAGGTACCCTGTGAGAGCAGATAGTCCTTGATCTGGAACTGCGTGCGCATCGTTTTCCCCGAGGGACTGCAAAAAGAGTTGGAGGGAAAGACAAATGGGTTTAGTGGGCGGTCGAGATTAATTAAGTGGACTAGCTACGTATACTCTAGCCGCTGTTATTCACCGGCTAAACGCACAATTTGTTTTATGGAAATTATGCACTCACCCCCCAAGGTCGGAGAGTAGTGAGTATAGTATAGTATAGTATTCCAGGGGCAATTAGTCGCAGTCAACGGCAATGGGCGAGTGCTTGATTAGCGACTCATTAGCATAATGGGCATTAACATGACAATGTAAAGCGGTGCCCTGGCATAAATTAAACCCAAACCGTGGCGATCGTTTCGATCTGGTTTGCCTTATTGCGTTATATATCTTATGAGACCATGTGTAGTTATTTGCGTTCTTGATTCTTTGGGAAACGTAATGCGTAATGATACAATTCGCATTCTGCGACTGGAATTTCGGGGTGAATTGTCTCGTCTGAGGAAAATGCGCAACAGATATATGTGCCACATTAATACTCAACAAGAGTCGCAGCAATTCTGAGCTCAACATCTGCGAGAACAATGACAAGGCTCATACATATGCATGTATGCACATTCTTAGCGCGCCTATGCGCCATAAAATTATGAAAAGGCAAAAAATTGATTTAAATTTCGGGCACTTAAATACCTTAAAAGGGGACACAGCAACAGCACAACAAAAGCAAAATATATATATGAAGAAACCTCGGCAAATCCAGTTTTAATAATGCCAAGCCCCTTGCAGGGAGGAGGAGCAGCCTACAGCATTTCCCTTCGCAACGTTAACCCTTTAAAAAACCCGCTGGCTGCTGCGGCTGCCCCTCTTCAACGGGCCACGCATGACCGCAAATCTGCCGACATAAATGCGTTGTCGCATGAGCTGGGGTTAAAAAACATACTCGTTTCATACACAAAATACAAAAAAAAAGAACGCAAAAATTATCGGAGAGAAGGGGGTGAACACAACAAAAAAAAAAAAGAATCGGAGCTGCTTATTAATTGTAAAGTGTGAGCACGTTGATGGAATCAAGGGCGCTGATGATGACGCCGTCGTCCAAGGAGAGAGGTAAAAGCAGGAAAGCTGAAGCACTCGAGAGACTGATGCCAGGGCTCAAGTTCATCATCACCGACTTCTGCTCCTGACCCTCATCGTCTCCTGTCCAAAAGCAACACAGAAAGGAAATACTTATGCTAAACAGCACAGAAAACATTTAATTAGTCAGGTTAAAAGTCATACTTCCAGCTAGTATAATTCTGACATCAGCTTAACAGATTATTTAAAAACTTGTGCTAGTTTTAAGCATAAAACCCAAGTACAAATTTAAAGTTCCAGTTCAAAAGTAATCAACTTTAAAGTCAGTTTTCTCCGTGTGTCTCGACAAGACCGTATGGGAAATCTGAATAATGCATGAAGTGTGAAAGCGGCAAGGGCATTAAATGAAACGACGACGACAGCAACAGGAGCTGTGAGCTGTGAGCTGTAAGCAAGGGAGTTGCATGAGCTGGGAGCCAGGGACAACAATATAATTGAGCGACAGCAACATTCAACAGCAGCGGCAACACGGCACAGCACAGCAACGAGAATCGTGTTACGGGTTAAACGAGTATGCGAATTGTCAATTGAGTGGCCCTTTTAGCTGGCCAAACAGGAGAATGCCACCGCATCTCATCTGAAATCATCCGACTCGGAGTCTGAATCCAAGTCCGAGTCCAAGTCCCAGTTTCTCACCCATCATCTGACAAGGGGGACTCATCAATGGCAATGGGAAAAGGAAAAAGGAAACTGGTTCTGGTTTGTTTTATTAATTATTTTTAACTACTTACGAGACCCAAGAGCAGAGGTTTATGGGCGAGAGACGAGTGCGAGATTGGAAAAATCGATGGCAAGTCGATTGCCAGACATCACGAAGGACTCCCGAAAGAGCGAGAGAGCACCAATTGAGAGAGACAGAGAGAGAGCGAGAGATGGAGAGCCGTCATCAGCGCCAAAAGCTTATGGCTCAATTTGTATGCAGCTGGCGTGGCAAGAGGCTTAAGAGCCCACCGCTTACCATCGCCTGAGTGGCACGCAACAGGAGTGTTGTTGTGCACAGGGAAAAATGAAAATTAAATAGCACTAAACGGATGTGGAAAAGACCCTGGCTGCAGTTGATTGCACTCCCTATTATCCTGCAGTGTACTAAAAATAGCATTTAAATGAAACGAAATTAATGCTTCATTAATTTTTGAATTATTACTATGCAGGTTCTGAATTCCCTGATGATCATAATAATGGTGTAACCTTTAAATATTACAATTTAATGTAATCAATGCGGAATATTTATCGTTTTTAGTTAGTTAAATCTCCTTTTAAAGTGTCCTTAATGAAATTTATCATTAAGTTCCTAGTTTTCCTCTCACTGTGACACTCTAAGCAGTCGGCAACTCATTAAATTTGTTCCCTTTTTCTCTTACTTTGTTTTCTTCTGTGGTATTTGCACAAAATGCGCTAATAACCCGAGTGGCTAAAGGCACACCATCTTTACCTATAGCTTCCTCCATCGCTTCCTCGCTTTTGTGGCCACATGAAAGGCGTTGGGCTAACGAGTTAAAATAATTTAATAAATTACACACACAAAAAGCCAAGTGCCAAAGAGTTGCTGTCGAGTGGCCAAACGGCGTCACCCATCGACCATCATCTTGCCCTGGTGGATACTGTGCGACAAGGTGGAAAAGTTTTACGCCCCTGTGACCTTGAGTGCACCCTCGAGCCACGAAAAAGAGTTGAGAGTGCAGACAGCTGGGAGTGGGTCTCTCCCTGTCCGGAGGCCGAGCCTATTACTAAATTAATAATCCCGAACAGCGCAAACACAAAGCCGTCAGGTACAACAACAACAACAATCTGGCCCAAAGGCACTGGGCAACAGCAGTGGGCCAGAATATGCCGTCGCGCACGAAACTGTAAAAAATTATCGCACAAAGGCAGACACACAAAGGTCGTTGGATCGCTAGGGTCTCTGCAGATGGAGGGACGGACAGACAGGCAATCCTTTTAGCCTGGAGTTTATCTGTTGTCCTTGTGCTGCCATGTCCTTGACAACGCGAAAAGAAAGTGACAAACAAACAAACAACCGACAGAAATCGAAAAGTGAATCATGTTTCGCATAAATAAAATATTGTCAACAAAGACGGCAAAGTATTTCGGGGATACCCAGACTATTCTTGTAAAATATCCCATAGTTTTTTAGTTAGAAGCCAGAGTATACACTTTACAAATATTTAAGAAGCCTTTTAACTATACACAAAGCTCAAAAGACTGATTTAATTGTCTTCTAATGAAATATAATTATTAAATACATACAAATTACCGCAAAAAGCGATTCTGTTTAAATCTAGCCAGTTTTTCCCCTTTGATAGGTAAAGCAAACCTCTGTCTCCATTATCGCTATCCACCTTGGCTTAAACAAGGCTTTTTACGTTAAGTTTTCCGGGTTTTCCCACGATATCGGCAACGACAAATTCGCATGGTGGGCGTTGACCAAAGTCAACAAGTCAGAGAGCCAGCTAAGCCGTAAGATTCGCAGGCAATGCCTAAAATGTAAGCAAAATAAACACATTTCAAAGGTCCGTCCGCCTGTCTGCCACTCCGACTGAATGCCTGTCTGACTGACTGAGTGACTGACAATGCAGGCGGACTAGCTCTAGGGGATCGGACCGGAGTGGAGTGGAGGAGTCCAAGGCAAATAAAGGAGGGACCAACTGCTGATGCAACCTACGCGCCCGCTGAAAGGTTCATCCCAGCGAGAAGGCACTGGAGAGAGGCCGCGTGGCAGGGTGCACACACGTTCGGAAAATGGAAAACCGTTCGAATGACCAGCCAGGCAAACTATTCCGCATTCTTCTATAGAGACTGGCGGCGACGGGGTGTGCTCTTTTCGCCTCGATTCGTTTCCAGTCGATTCGATCGGCGATCTCCAGCTGCCGTTTTGGATTTATGATTTATGCGCCCGCTGCCGCACAGTGGGCGGCCCCAGAGATGAGGCTGACTTTGACCAGGTCACAGTACCACCCCGAGGCCTCTCTTGCCACCTTCCGTCGCCCTCGGCCTGGCGGATGTCACGTTGCGCGCAGCCATTTAGCACTTGAGCAAACAGCAAGATTTAAATGCTTGCGCAACAATTATTGATTTAGTGCACAAATTGTGCAATAATCTTTCCCAGAATCAGCCAAAACGAAGCCAACGACTTGCTCGCCGCAAGGCAGGAAGCTAAACAAGAAATGGTATTTATGTTACTGCAATTTAAATGGAATTAAATATATATTGCAAGTGCCAAGATATTGCTGTATTTTGTGAGCATTCCTGCTAAATTTATGAACTATTGTTGACACAAACTGAACCCTTTTTGGACAATGAAAGTCACCCAATGAGACTGGTTATCTTCCTTGGCAAAACACGTATAAAAAAGGCAAGCTCAACTCGAAAAATTTGCAAAAGGGGGCCACGGCGGCCATCCGCTTGGGCAAACAGCGATCCAGCGCGACTCGGAGAAGCCCGGCAGCAACACGCAACGTGGAAATGAGCAGCAGCAGCTGCTGCTGCTGCTGTTGTTGGTTGGTGGACAATGACAACGCTTGACACACGATGTCATGTTGTCGCCGGGCACAAGTAAATACCAGTGAGCACGGGGATGGACCCTCTGGCCAGCGTGGCGTGGCATGCGTGGCATGGCCCTGGCAACCAGAGGCAACAGCGGTGCCCTCAAAGTGTGTCCTGGAAGGGTAATGGCCCATAGAGCGAGTGACTGAGTGAAATGTGACATTCCCGGTAAATGGACTGCGGCGGATAAGCTGCAAAAGTTTCGAGACTCCAAGTAATAAGGCACAGAGTAGTAATCATACTGATTTGCTGTCATAAGGATGGCTTGGAGCGCCAAGGCAAACAGTTTGAGTGATTCGAAAGGCAGTTAGCCAGCATTCAACCCTTTTAGGCTTCGGCCCCGGGGCAACAGCTGCGAGGGAAACTATTCCGACGAGGCGAGTCAAGCACTCAGAAGTGCCAGCCACTTATAAAATCAACAATTACCCAACATGATGTTTGCTCAGAGCCCAAAAAGAAGAAAAAGCCTGACTGAGCCCCCCCATTCGACCCTGAAGCGATTGGGATTGGATTGGTTGGACGAGAACAATTACAAGTACCCGGGGCCAGCAGATACGTACATAACATATATCCACATACTCGATGCTTTTCAACATAGCCGAGTAAACATTTTATTTGAGTTTGTAATTATGTGTGCTTGATGATAACTCGCAGATAATGCCAGGTAAATATTTACACCGGCTCGTTGACGGTTGCTATTGCTGATGTTGCCCCTCTGATGCTATTCCTGCCCGGTTGCAAAAACATTTCCGACACGACTACTGCAGCTATGTATGTATCCCCTCCTCCCCTAAACGCCCACTGGCCCACTTGCCCCCTTTTGGACAGTGGCATTTCCTGTGGCACAGGGGATGGGGTTCGCTGAACATTTTTATGGCTTCTCGAATGCGTTTAGCGTTCGCCTTGGCCAGACAATAACCAGATTGACTTTTAGCCCGGATCCGGACCCGGGCCCCCAAAGTGATGTTAAATGTCATGTCCGTACAACAAGCTCTGTCGAGAGTATTCAACCCAACGATATCCTGTATCGGCTTACCCCCGGGATCCCATCATCATATTCCCCCGGCTTTGGCTTACTTAGTGGGCGACTCACCTGATGTAGGCCACTTCGTTGTTGTTGGTTAAGCGACGCCAGCCAGGGGCCAAATTTCCATTGTAACTATTGGTCTTCCTGTTGCTGCCATTGCTGTTGCTGTTGTTGTGGCTGTTGCTGTTGCTATTGCCACTGGCATTGTTGACTTTGGCAACATTCTTGGCATAGAGCTGATTGTTCTGACTCATTTGACGCGATGCCGATGCAATTGTTGTCGGCATGCAATGCGTTGCAGCAGCAGCAGCAACAGTTGCTGCCGTTACTACTGGTGCTGGTGCTGCTGGTGCTGCTGCTGCTGCTGCCGTCGACTTCATTGGCAATTTTATCTGCGCCTGGCGCTGTTTGGTTTGCTGCTGTTGTTGATGTTGCAGGAGGAGTTGCTGGTTACTGGTGGGGCACACAAAAATATGCTGCTGCTGATTGTTGCGCTGCTGTTGATGCTGCTGCTGCGGTTGTTGCTGCTGCAGATGCAGCATGTTGCTGCCATTGCCATTCACCAATCCAACTGGCATTATCTGCTGCGTATGCTGCTGATGTTGTTGTATAGATGCACTTGTAACGACCCGCGATACAAATTTCGTCTGTTGCTGCTGGAAAAACTGATGATGTTGATGTTGTTGCTGTTGCTGCTGCTGCTGCTGTTGATGCAATGGCAACATTTGCTGTTGTTGCTTGAACATGTTAATCTGTTGTTGCTGATGCTGCTGCTGCTGTGGTGATGCATCTCGCTGCTGGCAACAGTCTCAGCACTCCCAGCAATATTCAGCTTGTGCTGATGCTGTTGCTGCTGCTGGCCAGCCGAGGCGGCGGCCATGGCGATATAAGCAGCCGTTTACAAGCTCCTCCGCAATTCAGGAGCTGTAAGGGTAGCAAAGGAAGACCAAAGTTAGTCACATACTTGCTGGAAATAATTTCTATTAATTCTTTTACCTAAAAAAAGTACTATTTAGATTCGGAATTTCATGTAAATGGATCGTCTTATTTGATTTTTTATGAATTGAATTCGATTGTAAGTTTAAAGTTCCCTAAAACGCTACAACGGATTTATATTATAGCCCTTTCTTTTTAAAAGCTGGTATACAGCAGCTTAAAATTATTGAAATATTTATCTAACTAATTTAAATCATTAAACATTAAACTAAAAAGGTAACAAAGTAAATTTCTAAATTCATTTCCAATATCGTATCCAAAGAAAAGTATTTAATTATTTCGCTTTAACTTAGATTTAATCCAAAACTTTACTCCAGCAATGACTTTCAAAAAATATTTGAACAGTAATAGTATTTATTTGACCTTTTTAAACTTTTATTTGTGGGGCTTGACCTTTATGGAAATGCCAAGATTTATATGAATTTAATAATATACATTGCTTCATTATTCATTTTATATGTATTAATTCTCTATAATTTGTCTTCAATGCTGGAACTTCGAGGGTTTTGCTTTTGTTTCTGACTTAGGCCTCGAATTAAATTGGAATGGAATGGCGTTGCGGCTATTTTTTTATTTAGTGACTAAGTGCCGCGAGCGTGTAAGTTTACCACTTACAGAAATGAAGGTCCAATCAAAGTTTATGCGTAGCGCAACTATCGAACGTGAAAGTGTTCGAATTACGCGTCTAAAAGTCTGAGATGGAATGGAGTAAGTCTCGTAAGTTTGTAAATAGATATTTCTAACTGAACGATCGCATAAACGACATGTCGTCCATCGTAGGCCGCACCTTTCGTTATTCATGCGTTGTTGGCCTCTGTTCCCTACTAGTTTTGTTCCCCCCTTATTCCGCTATCTGCGCTCACCTTTTAGCGTGCTTTTCGCTTTGCTCATTTGCCAGCATATTAAATTAATTTTGAGTTATTGTGTAAACGAGACGCGGCCATGTCATGTTCATGTTTTTTACGATTTGTTTTTGTTTTTTTTATATTTAAACACTTAATTTCACTTTTTTTCCTCTTTGTATTATTATTATTATTATTATTATTTTGTTGTATTCTCAACTTTTCTGGCTGTAATAATGCGACAACGATTGTGGTTGTTGTTGTTGTTGTTGCTGGGTGCTCATGACTTCATTTGAATTCAGAAAACGAACGTCAGCACACACACAGACACAGAGGGCACGGGCACAAACGGAGCCAGTGGAGAGCAAAGAGCGCACAACGCGTAAAAGTAGGTGAATGGAGCATGAATACACCGAAGAAACGAAAGAGGGGAGGGGGAGGTCCAAAGATGAGAGGGGGACAGTGCTTTAGTACACCCACACCAACGCACGCACTGACTCCCTCTCCGAGGCGTCTTGTGAAAAACGAGAAACAAAAAATAAACGCTTTACTTTAGCACAATTATTTGCAGACCGTTTTTAAGCAGCCGTATTAATACAGGGCGCCTTTATAATTAATGCGTGTGTTTGCCTGTGCGGACACCACCTGCCCTCCGGTTCTGCTCGAGCGATCCGCACACAAACACAAAAACAAACGACGGGCGGCGAGAGCGGGAGCGGGAGCAGCAGCTGTTTGCCTTGGGCAGTGGGATGAAAACGGAATATTGGTGGCTATCTTCGCTCGCTGGTACGGGTATTGGGCAATCGCACATACAAATACACACACACACACACACAATCGCACAGATGGGGCGAGAAAACGCGTGCCTATGCTGCGGTTTACTGCTGCTATAATATGTACAAAGTGACCTCAATACGCATTACGCTACAACACAAACACACACAACGCACTTCACTAGCTGGCAGCTGCACTTCGTTTTGGGCTTTATTATGCACAGACTCGGATTACACCAAATGCCAATTAAATATGAATTAATTACAACAATTTTATGTCGCTCGCTTGATTCACGCAATATTATGGCTCTCTCTCGCTTGCTCTCTGGCTGCCACTCTCAGTCTCTCTCTTTTTTTCGCTCTCGCTCTCTGTACCACTGGCAAACGCGCACACGAAAATTTTTTGCTGCCCGAAATTCGAATTGCATTCGCTTTTCTGCGGCCAATTACCGTTTTCACCGCACCCAATTATGCTTATATTTGACCACGGCAAGTGGGCGCATTTATTGTATCGGAATTTTTATTGGCTTTTACTGCTTTCGACACCCGCTAGCCGTAGCTCCGTGCACTTTTCCGAACGGACGACAACAAAGAACCGTTCGGATTTTGAGTTGAAAACGTAATGAATGAAGGCAAAGCAAAACAAACATATGATACGAAAAGCCCAAAGAGAAATTCCAAAGTGCTATCGAGACTATCGATGTTTTACAATGGCGGTTGGTAAGGTTGGGAACTCTGATAACCTAGAAATTAAACAATCATATTTATTTGGCTGATTTTAAATTAGACCGTCCGCGAACTATCTACGAAAAGCAAAGTAGGAATGCAAAAATATGGGATAGTATAACACGTCGATGTTGAATTGCTTTTCCCACCATCATATATCGATGCCAAACATCGATAAAGTATTTAAAAATATATTTTGCCATAATTTAACAACACCTTTCATATAAAAGATATTGAAACGTATATTAATTATATATCAATTTTTATTTTCCTATAACTATTTGAAATAAAAGTTAAAATTTTAATTAATGATTAATATTTATAAATATTCTAAAACATTTTATTAAAATTAAATATATATTTTTTATAAACATTTATTTTGTTTCTAAAAAAGCCCCTTAAATAGTATTTTTATCGTTCTAGCTTAATTTTTTGGTATTCTTTTTTGTCTTCGTCATTATCGATATTGGAGCTATTGATCATATCGAATAGGATGCCACACTGTCTTGTATTTCGCGGCGATGTTTAAAAATTCCACAATCACAAGAACATTTATTGATGCAATTAATTTAATCTTTCGGTGTTGCACCAGTACTTTTATTACTCTATTAATGTCAGGAGCAGCGGTCCTCGTATTTACTTTAACTTTAACTTTTAAATAAAGGATCTTGCATGGTAATACAAATAACTTTAATTATCTTATTTGCATTATCAATTTTTTTTTGTTTAACTTTATAGTAATAATACAAAATAGTATAAAAATATAACTTATTTATATAATGTTTCTAGTTATAAATACGAAAAATGACTGCCACGCAAGTGTTATACCCGAGAAATATTGAATAAATGATTTGATTTCTGTAATTAAACATTTTCAATATCTAAAGAATAAAACGACTGAAGGAGCGGAGCGCTTTTTATGTATGACTGATAATTTAAGCCTATATTATTTTTTTAAATTTCTGTAGAAATTTGGCTTCTCAAAAAAATAGGCATATCCATAACTTTTATCATTAAAAACAAAAATAGTTTCGTCGTGAGAGTTTATAATACGCTTTCCCAGAAATAGCAACATTTAGCTCTAAAACAGCCAGACTGGCAACGCTAGGCACAGTTGTGTTATCGCACTTATCGAGTGGCGTGATTATTCGATAGCTTATGATAGAGAAAATGTACGTCATGTGATTGTGGATTCTTTTTTTCGCACGGAGCAGTCACCTGTCGGGCAAGAAAAATACAATTACGCCTGCAATTCGGTGAGTGTCAGCTGGAAAACGAGAAAATCTGGACGTGCTAACGCTGCCCTATCCACAGATAGTCAAGAAAAAGCAGCAAGATGGCGGCCCAAATACGCACCGTGGTGTCCCAAACGTTTATATGGCTTTTCCTCGCCGTGGCCACCATCCTGACCCTGTACTTTGTGATGACAGGCAAGGGCGAGCGGGTGAGCGTGGGCTGGTTCCTGGCCTCCTCAAACCCGTACATGTGGGCCTGCCTGGGCATCGGACTTTCCGTCTCTCTGTCCGTGGTGGGCGCCGCCCTTGGCATCCACACCACGGGCACGAGCATCGTGGGCGGTGGCGTTAAGGCTCCTCGCATCAAGACCAAGAATTTGATCTCCGTCATCTTCTGCGAGGCTGTGGCCATCTACGGCCTTATCACGGCCATTGTCTTGTCCGGCCAGCTGGAGCAATTCTCCATGGAGACGGCGCTGACGAAGGCTGCCATCCAAAACACCAACTGGTTCTCCGGTTACCTCATCTTTGGCGCCGGTCTGGCCGTCGGCCTGGTCAACCTCTTCTGCGGCATCGCTGTCGGAATTGTGGGTTCTGGAGCTGCCCTTTCGGACGCAGCCAATGCCGCTCTTTTCGTCAAGATCCTGATCGTTGAGATCTTCGGCTCGGCCATCGGTCTGTTCGGTCTGATCGTCGGCATCTACATGACATCCAAGTCGAAGATGGGCGACAAGGAGTAAAATGGACACCAGCTGCCATCTATTCAGTGTGAGTCATCCCGTTTACAGTTGAGGTCAAGATAATAGCACTTGAGGTCGGTGATTATAATTATCATTATTTTTTATGGCTTTGGGTTTGTTTGTAACGATTTGTTGGTAATCAATTAGACCGATATATTTATTGAAGGAAAGCTTTATTTGTTTTTGAAACTGAATAATTTTGTTGCATTTTAAAGAAATATTGAAAGGAGATATTTCAATATAATTAGGATCTGCCAGTCTTTTATAGATTACATTAAATACTTTTTAGTTGTAAATGAGGATTAAAAGTTTATAATAACTGAGTCAAGATAAACTAACGGATAAAAGTATAATTGTATTACAATAATATCATCTAAAAATATTTGTCTAATAGAACTGAAAGTCTTGCAATTAATATTAGCAGTTATTGTTACCTAAATCTGTGATTTAATAGAAATTGCTGTCAAATTTTCATAGTTTGGCCCGGAAGTTCGAGGCTCTAATTGATTATCTAATTTCTTGTGTAAACGCTAAAGTTTAATGAGAATAAATGTATTACTATTAGACAAGGTTGAGATTAATCCAAATGGCTTTATTTTCTATTGCTTATCTCCATGTTTGAATTATATTTGTGTGTTGTAATCCATTTTTAAATGATATATACTTTGAAGACTTCTACATATTATCAAGATATTTGAAAATATAGGACAATAATATAATAATTATAAAAAATCATAAGCCCAATTGTATGTGCTATTATTTCGATCGCTAATATTTATATATTCATGTAGTGCCCGCATTTAATTGTAATCTATATTTCTCCACAGCCTACTCACTTCCATCACCAGAATGAACAACAATCATCAATCGTCACGAAGGCATTCCCCCATTCCCCCCAAGCAGGCACGCTGAACACCAGTGTTTGCATTTGGAAATTATTATTTTTGGAAATTACAAATCGTTATATGCAGTCACAGCTTGCAGGAGACTTGCGCCCCAACAGAAAACGAAATCCGATCAGCCGAAACACTTTAAACTGGGACTTTAGTTACTTATTAAGTTGATAGTTGGCTAAGTTAGCTGTTGGTTTTCACGCCTCGCGCACTTTTTCAACCGCCAGCATCACTCAAAGGATTGGGGAGTGCGCCCGGTGTGAAAACGACAGTGATTTGTTTATTTAATTAGTTTGCCAAACGAAAGACAACGTGTGTGTGTGTGTCCGTTTATGATTTTAAGTAATTTGTTATGTTTGTTACTGTACACACTTGGCACTTGTATGGCTAAATGAGAATGTATTATATTAACTACCGTAAATCGATAAACTTGTATATTTCAGGCTACTGTTGCAGAAAGGCAGAAGTTGTAGAAAGATGCACAGTCGCACTATTATTATTATAGCAAGTATTCCATATTAAAACAAATAATAAAATATATACACGTTTTGTTTGTCAATCTGAGTCAACTAATAACTAAGGCGTATCAGAAGAGTGCATTGCGTGCAATCATCACTTGTATGTATGTGCATACATTCATACATACATCAACCAAGTTTTCTATCAAATCGAAAGAGTCGTTAAAATTACATATGTACGTTTATGTAAGCTCAAGTTGCGGCGCTCAAGAGATGACATAATAGTTTGTTATCTTTAAAAGACCTGTTTCTTGATCGACCACATGGGAATAATACCATCACAATATCAACCGAATTATTAGGAAGTTTCAAATACATAAGGTATCTGCATCCACACTATGTGTGATATTTTCGAAGTGAAATAGTTAGGGGCAAGGTTATAGCCAGAATTGTTTTATTAATTTATATAGCACATTTTAACATGAAATAGGAAAGATCAAACTTATTATTAATTAATGAATAACTTACGCATAAACATATTTAATTCAATTCCAATAAGATATATTTTTAAAGGGAAAAGTATTTAAAAGTCTCAGCCGCATAAGGTTTAAATTATGATTGATTTCCAGTTCCTGGCTTCAAGGAAGTTTGAAGCTTCTAGGATCTTTAAAATGGCCTTTAATTTTTTATATATATCAACGCGAAAGCTTTCAACGTGAAATGTAATCGCATTTGCTAGGAAGTTCCAATTTAAACCCAATCATAACCGGCATTCCCATAGCCATATTTGAACTCCCGCCGAAAATATGCGTTAACCAACACTTTTCACAGAGTTGCATTTCGGCGCCATTTTGCAAAAATGACAGCTCCGTTAGCTTTTTCGCATCCTCTTTCTTTCCCGTTCGCTGAGTCGCACGCGTCGCACTGATTTTTGTCCGCTTCGAGCTTGATTTAATTGGCTGAAAATGTCCGAGGGTGTTGTAGAATCCAATACTGAGCAGGGTCATCTTCCTCCCCAGCAGCAGCAGCAGGATGAAGAGATCTGGGAGGAAGAGGGCGCAATCACGATGCCGGCCCAACCGGCCAACGAATGGCCAGAAATCAAGCTCTTTGGTCGCTGGGCCTGCGACGATATTTCCATCAGCGATATCTCGCTGCAGGACTACATTGCGGTGAAGGAGAAATTTGCACGCTTTCTGCCGCACTCCGCTGGACGCTATGCGGCCAAGCGTTTCCGCAAGGCCCAGTGCCCGATCGTGGAGCGTCTGACAAGCGGCCTGATGATGAAGGGCCGCAGCAACGGCAAGAAGCTACTCGCTTGTCGCATCGTCAAGCACGCCTTCGAGATTATTCACCTGCTGACCTCGGAGAATCCCCTGCAGGTCACCGTCAACGCGATCGTCAACTCTGGGCCGCGCGAGGACTCTACGCGCATTGGACGGGCCGGAACTGTGCGTCGCCAGGCCGTCGATGTGTCGCCCTTGCGGCGCGTAAACCAGGTAAATACATACATATGTACATGCAAAGCACACTTTTTACAAAACATGATCTATCATGTCCTTTATTTGTGAAATGGTCCAAGGTATGGATAATGAATACCTTTTGAACTAAGAATCTTTCGAAAATATCAATTTGCAACTATTTCATAATTATAAGAATAGCAACACCGATTTTTAAAATATATTTACATGTTATATACGACATGCTCTTAAAATATAGAGTACGAAATCAATGGAATCCTTTCTTAATAATTTCGGGATTTTGCCAAGTAAAATGTGGGTTTATCTTTAAGAAATTCTTATACATATGTTTGTGACATTAAACTGAAATAATCCCTCCAATTGCAGGCCATTTGGCTGATTTGTACTGGAGCTCGTGAGGCTGCCTTCCGTAACATCAAAACCGTGGCCGAGTGCCTGGCCGATGAGCTTATTAACGCCGCCAAGGGGTCTTCAAACTCGTATGCCATCAAGAAGAAGGATGAACTGGAGCGCGTGGCCAAATCGAATCGTTAAATGCCGATTCTTTCACTTCTTTCACCTTCCTACATAAGGCCTTATGTAACCATTTAACCTTCTAACTGATAATACAAAATTGTATTTCAAATATTGTGTTTTACTGTACGTACTCCTTTTTATAACAAAGGGAGGAGTTGAGAAATCATTTGGAACATGTCTAAAAAAGTCCGGTAATGTAGTATATTTTTTATACATTTAAAGCTCTTGATTTAAGAGCGGGTTTTGGCAGTTTCGTAACGAATATAGAAACCAAAAGTTTTATGTAACTTTGATTTATTAATCAAAAGGTATTCGTCAAACTGAAGAGAGAAATCAAACGTGGGCTTCAAAATGAGATTTGCAACTATTTTCGGGTTGTTCGTCGTTGGTGGTTTCTTATTGGTGACTGGTTGTGTAATAATGGCAAACGTGATGACTGGAACTGGTGAGCGGATGGGACTCGGCTGGCTTCTGTACACATCAAGTCCCTTTTTGTGGGCCGGCCTGGGCATTTTCCTCTCTTGCTCCTTGTCCGTCGTGGGCGCTGCCCTCGGCATTTACATGATTGGCACGAGCGTTTCCGGTGGAGGAGTCCGATCGCCGCGAATCAAGACAAAGAATCTCATATCGGTTATTTTCTGTGAGGCAGTGGCCATATACGGCCTGATCACGGCCATCCTGCTGTCCGGATGCGTTCAGGAGTTTTCGACGATACGAATGTTTACGGTGAGAAGTGTATTAGAGAATAATATGTTCTCAGGATTTGCTGTTTTCGGCGCTGGCCTGTGCGTCGGATTGGTTAACATAGCCTGTGGCGTTTGCGTCGGTATCGTCGGGTCTGGAGCTGCTCTTGCCGATGCTGCGAATTCGGCGCTGTTTGTCAAGATTCTCATTGTGGAGATTTTCGGCTCGGCCATTGGTCTGTTTGGATTGATCGTGGGAATCTACATGGTATCCAAGGCCGAGATGATTAAATAAGCAAATAAAGCCAAGAGTTTACAACTGAAAAGCTAACATTTATTTGGTAATTAAAGCTAATCCTCCCCATCATTATCATCATCGCTGTCATCGTCGTTGCCATCCTGATCGCTGCCATCGTCGTCTTCCTCGTCCCAATGTTTGATCTTCTTGTTGGTCATAAAGTCCTCGCGCAGTACACTCCACTCGGACTTCTTTTTACCGGGAGCAGAGGGACCGTCATCATCCTCCTCATCGTCGTCGTCGTCTGATTCCTGCTCTTCCTTCTTTACTGAATTATCTATGGCTGTGGATTTGGCTCGCTTGCCGCTCATCAGAACGTCCAGGAATTTGCGCTTATTGATATTGTTGAGCACTGCGTCCTGCCGGCTGTCCAGGGGACCAGCTTCCTCCAGCTGCTGCTGTAGATCCTTCTGCTGAATGCGCACTGCATTAAAGAACTGAACGGTTCCTCGGGTTGCAACCTTTCGCAGAGTTCGTTCACGATCCATATCCCGGTAGCTGGGCTTTACGCGCAACTGCAGCGGGACATTCTTGCGCTGTTGCTTTGTCAGCTGAGCATCCAGAGCGGATGCCTCCGGTTTCACATCATCATTGTCATCATTGTCCTCGTCATTTTCCGCTTTCCCCGCTGACTTATCGATCTCGAAATCAAAGTCGGGCTTTGATACTTCGGATTTCCGAACCTGGACAGCCGCCTGACTGCTTTTGGCGCGGGCTAGAATGGTTTTGTTTTTGGTCTCTGGTTTGGAGGTTTTTAGTACTTTCAGGATGGAGTCCGCCCAGCCGGCGTTGCCCTCGACATCGCTGCCCGAATTTTGGCTTCCCTCGGGGTCGGATTCTTCAGGGGAACTGTCCGCTGCTGGAGCTGGAGCCTTTTTTGAGCGCTTCTCTGTTAGAAGAGCCATTTTACTTGGATGAGCAAATGAATCCAACTTTAAAAACAAATCAAGCGTGTTTATCACGTTTTTAGAGATGGGAAGGTTAACCACTTGTTACCCGACCAACGAGGCTGCCACCTATCGAATACGAAAATAGCTATAGCTAATTATTTACTGAGCTATCAATCAAATGTAGTAGAGTTTAAACATTAACATTAAAGCAATGAATTATAATTTAATATTTTTTAATTTATATTTACACAAGTAAATTTTAAAAACATTCTTAGCAAGTTGGCAGGTTGTTTTTCTCAGGACCCGGAGAAATCGATTTTATTCAATCGATTGTAAGTCCCATCGCTCTAACAAAATAAAAAAAAGAAGCCAGCCTCAGTTTTGTCAATTAAAAGCTAAACGTTTTTTTTCAACTCTCTCTTAAAACCTTACCATGATTAAGATGAAGCTGGAGGCTTTGGGTCATCCCACTCCCAGCGATGTGGCCCTGAGCAGTAAGTACATACGTTAAGTGTGAAAATGCCAATTGATGAGCTCACTCTCCTCCCCCAGATCGCAAGGAGTTCGCCAGCACAATCCTCTGGATAGAGGATCAAAAAATCCGTCTTTACACAATTGAGGATCGTGAGATGCTTCGTCATATAGACAACCTGAAGGTATGGGAGGAAGGCTATGTAAAGTATTGCGCGGACCTCCAAATGCCGCCGCTGGAGAGCCAGCAGGAACAACTGGCCTGGATTTTAAGCCATGCCGTTCGTCTGGAATTCCTGGACGGACCAGAGCAGTTTGCGTCCATCAATAGCAAAACGGGCCCTCCAAAAACCAATGGCAAACTGGCCCCAGTGAAGGTTCAGTCCATTTTTGACGGAAAGATTAATGGTAAAGATTTTTGTTTCTCAAATTATAGTCGAGAGTAATAATCCCCGTACCTCCTAATAACAGTTCAAGACAAAGCGTTTATCGATGGCGTTCGCCAGCTGGCCAGCAAACTGAATGTGCCACACCATCCAAACCATTTGCTGCAGCTGGAGGCGGTGGCGCGAGTGGTCCACGAGCGCCTGTCGCCCGCCATGAAAGGCCGACAGCCCATTGTGGGCACCCCATTCCCCTTCGACAAGGGCAACGACATCATCTCGGCCAACGATCCTGCCTTGGACCTGCCCATGCGCATTCTGCGCCTACTCCAGATCCAGAGCCTGCGTCAGTTGCAGACGCACATCAACGAGACGATTGTGGCAGTGCAGAACCTCACGGCCAATCCAAAGACTGACTCCAAGCTGGGCAAGGTGGGGCGCTAGTTGAGGAGATTCACGAGAACCAAGCAGCAATATTATGTAGGCCTATTTAAATATTTCTTTAAATTTAGATTTAGAAATTCACTCTTATTTACGTGAAATCTAGAAAAGCCAAGGAACATTCAAAGGCCTATTGCGAACATGTAATTATTGTAAATTAAAGGAATGTAGATCGAAATAAAGGTTTATATTGTCAAAAATCTCATATCTTACCGAACATAAGCTTGAAAGCAACTAAATTGTTATAGGACGGATATAAGAAACATTTGATTTAATTTAAATTTAAAATAGAAAATTTCGTCCCCTAACGTCTTGAAAAGAACTCGTGATCCTTGGCTGCTTTTACTGCCTTAATTTGCTCCTCCTTGGGGTCTTCAACGATGGTTGGTTTCAGAAAACTCGCGTCTGCCAGCAGCGCCACGCCCAAGATTCCAGCGGCTGGGACGAAAAGCTATTAAAGTCCAAATATGGGTAATTTAAGATCCATACTTTACCTGCCGCCAAGCCTTTCATCGTGTAATTCTCCAGCGGTTGTGGACGCTTCTTCGATTGCGCCAGCAGAAATGCGCCGATGCCGAGAAAACCACTTCCACTCACTAAACGACATGACAGACAGTCTTCGGTGGTTGAGGGAGCCCATCTCTGCGCCAGAAAGCTAGCCTTCCGATCATTTCGAAGGTATTTTTCAGGCAGAAACGAGATATTTACAGGTTCTGGAATGGATCATGAAAAGCCAACTCCATAATATTAGTATTGATATTCCGTGCGTGACACGACGCTTATCGATAGGCTTATCTAAATGCCGGAGCTTAAGTCTGCATGTAAAATAAAAAGCTTAAATTAATATCTGTTTTTTTTTCCTATTTATTATTACTACTTTGTTAAACGCGTTACTACACGTTCTTTTCGTTTTACATGGTAATTTTATAAATATCATGTAGCTACTTTGTAATATTATTAACAAGTTGGCAGCACGTCTTTTGATTTAAACAGATGATTTCCCTAAACCAGTGTAAAAGTTGTTTATTTTATTGTCTGTCTTAAAATGGAGTTTCAACGAAATGATGCCATGCTCATGGAGATACTGCAGGATCGGAAGACCATAACGGGATTTCTGGACTCTATTTTTGGCTTCCTTCGACGCAAGTAGATGGTTGTGCCGGTAGTCTGTACCTCCAAACTTAATAATTCTGTTTATATTCTAGCACCGATTTTTATCACACAAAAAGAGATGAATCGGACAAGATAGGCTTCCCCAAGGGTGTGAGGGATCAAATTCTTTATGGCGCCATGCAGCGGTATGATCCGGATTGCTGGCTGCAAACCATGACCGCTGAGGATGGAGGCTGTGGGGATGATGGTGAGCTTGCTCCGCCTGCCGTTGAAGAAGTAATCTTGGAGAGTGTAGCCACACCTCAAGATATCGATTTAAGTCCACCTATGAATACACCACAACTAAATCACAAAGATGAAGCTACATTCTCAACCAGCGACTACAAGAACGGAGCCCTTTTCGAAACACACTGCTGGTCACAAACGCTGAAGGATGTGGAGCTTCAAGTAAAGCTGCCCGAAGGTCTACAAACAGCTAAGAAGCTATCCATAATCATCAAATCGCAGTACATCAAGGTCAACAGTAAACTGAATCCAGAAATAGTAATCCTAGAAGGAAACCTCAGTCAGCGGATTAAACATAACGAGGCAGTGTGGACCATTGACCAGAATCGACTGCTCATAAGTTGTGGTAGCTATCTAAAATACTGTCAAAAAGCATATATTAATCCTGCGAACTGTTTACAGATAAATCCAAAGAGCTATGGTGGGAGCGTCTTTTTGAAGGTGATCCGGAAATAGATCACAAAAAAATTGACTGCGAGCGATACATAGACGAGTTGCCAGAGGAGACGCAAGCCACCATAGAAAAACTTCGAGTTCAGCAGTTGTCAGCGGATAAGCAACAGAATGAGTTCCAGACTTCGAATCCCGAGCAAGCTAAAACCCTAGACCGGCTCAGAACCGCATGGGACGCCGAGGGATCTCCTTTTAAGGGACAGCCCTTTGATCCTTCAATTGTTCGAATGAGTTAGTTTTTAATAAAGACCTTTGATTTTTAAAATTAAATTTATTCTATAAATAACGATTCTTCGCATTTATTGCGAAGTTCTGATATATTTCCACAACTTATAATTGATATGTTCTATAAAAACATTTTTAGTACAAACGAGAGTCAAACTTACTTCTAGTGCTAAATGAAAAGATATGCGTATTACTGTGCCTTTAGCTCCAGCTTTTTGCGCTGCAGTTGCAATTTCTGGTAGGCCACATCCTTGTGATCCGTCGACCAGGCCACGTACATATAAGTGGTCAAGAGAAGTGCCAACAGAAGTCGGTCAACACTCATCACATTGGTGGCAAGGAGAATGACGGATAAGCCCACAAAGGAAGGATGCCTCACGTGTGCATACAAATTGCGCAACTCAGTGGATTTGAAGTTAATAGGTTCGCTGTAAGCCTTTAGGTCGTAGTATGCCTGCTTGATGCCCAGTAGCTCCGGTAAATCCATTACTAAAGTGCCTCCAAAGATCACAACCCAACATAAACCATGAGTGATAGCAAAAGTCCACCAAAGAGGTGCGCTGTCCTCCACATCAATTTGCCATAGGACGATAGACTGGGCGGGCAGCCAATTGACAATCAGGTACTGGAGTGAGAAAAGATATATTTAGGTTTATTTTCAATACATTTGCATAATGCTTAGGTGTACAAACATGTAAACAAATCGATGACGTCAGACTATAAATAGTTCGCTCTGCACCACCCAAACCACATTTGGCCAATAGCTTCTTGACAAAAGCTGACTTAAGGAAGCTGTGTTGAAAGATGAATCCTATCAGGTAAAGGGTGTCAAACACCACGGGACCATAGGCAGTTTCCAGGCGGGATTTGTTGTCCAGTAAATTGAAAATCCAGGTGTGCGCCTTCGAAACCGAGCGAGGTGTCGAGAGGAAGAGCATAAGGCGACCAACCACGTAAGAGAGTATCCAAATGTTGCCATTGAGGCGAGAAGCACCAGCAACTTGGCAATCGAGGCCATATCGTTCAATTAAAATACGCGAAAACTTTAAATGAATACGAATAACAAATCCCAAGCGTTTGTTTGAGAAAACTAATAGTGTGACCATGGGTTAATACTTGCAAAATAATAAAATTATTAATTTTAAATGATCTTTTATGGGTTGTTATATAGAGTATTGTTTACTTTTTTATACAGTTATATAAATTATAAAAGAAATGGACTATTAAGCTGGTCAATATTGTATATTAATTAGTGGAACATCCAGCATATAGATCTGAGCATTATTAGTACATTTCTAGTTTTACCATTTGGTCACATTAAGCCAAGCATGCTAAAACTACATCTAAATATTTTGCGCAAAATAACTGAGCCCCAGGTTAAAACTCTAAACTACAAACTATTGGTCGGGTTATCTCGACAAGCAGACATCTAACATCTTCACTACAGAGCTAAATTTGCTAGTTTTCCTAGAGTTTTCATTGTTTCCCATTGTTGTAATTGGTTTCCACCAGGTTGGGCAGAATATTATAGAAACAAAATACCTTCTTGAACTTGTGTCCTTCGGTAAAGTATGTTAAATTTACCATAAATGTGTTATTTAAACCTAATATTCTTTAATTTTTAGATGTCATCGGAATCCGAAAGCCCACCGAAATATCCGCGAAAAACAAGACCCAAAATAAGTGGCAATTTCTCCGAGGAGGACACCATAAAATTAATAAATTATGTTAAGAAAATGCCTGTCATCTGGAATACGAATCACAAGGAATATGCTGAAAAGAAAACAAGGAACACAGCGTGGAGTCTAATATATAAACAATTTGGAGGCCGACACCATGAATCGGACCTGCGAACCAAATGGAATAATTTAAGAATCCAGTACAGGATAACTCTTGGAAAACTAAAGGGAAAAGGGGAGGGAAACGCTTCAGTCTGGAGACATTTTGCGGCTCTTAAGTTTCTGGAGAATGATAGTAAATCTGAGACTCTTGAAGCCAGAAATATTTTAGAACCTGAAGACGAGCTTGAACTCGGCGACGTCCCATCATCGGCCAGAAAATCACCCAAAAAACGACGAACTCGGTTAGAATCTGAAGACGAGCCTGAACTTGCCACAGTTCTATCACCGCCGAGCAAACGTTTAAATGATTCCAAGGGTGATCCCAATTTGCAACTGTGTAATTACATGTATTCTGAATTGACTGAGCTAAAAAGGAAAATGCTGCTATTCTTCGAAGGAAACTTTTAAAACTATTTATTTCATTTGATCCTTCAGGTGATTACGCCGATGTGTAAATACATGTTGGATTCTTTTTTAAACAACTCATTTAGCATAGATTTATGTATGCCTATACTGGGCAAAACAATAAAATAAATTTAAATCTTTATTTTTTATGAATTTAAGCAGTTTTTATCGTCCTCATCGTTTGGTCATATTTAGGGTGTTTTCAAAGACCACTGAGTATTTGCCTGGGTTCGACATCTGGTCACACTGTTTGTAAATGTTTCAAGTTTCCCACTAAACGCAAGCGAAAAAGTGTAAGTCCGTAGCCCATCGGCTTAAGCAAAGTTTAAACTATAAGTTGAAAGTAAGAAAAAGTCGAATTGGCCACAAATGACGCCGGAAAAGCGCTGAAAAATTTGCCGACGCGAGAAAGCAACTCACTCACTCTCACTGGCTCACACTCATATACACAGGCACACATAGCTTGCAAATGGCGGATGCGTTTCCAACAGAAAAAAAAGAGAAAAAGAAAGACTGCATTTAAGTGTGATATGTTATGAAAATTGTTGACGTTGCAAGTGATACATAAAATCGCAGGAAAAACGGTTCGAGAAAAGGGAGAAGGGGCGAGCGGTGTGGCCGAGTGTGCATCTGCAGTGGATTTTGTTGTTTTTTAAGCGGCAGCGACGCCCTTTTGTCTTGTCGGAATCGAAAAGGAAATCCACGATTTATCAGTGTGCAATTATTCCAATTAGCGGCGAAGAAGAGGAAGAAGCATCTACCAACACCGACATACTTTCACTGCTCTACTCTTAATTATGAGCAAAAGGGACAGCTGACACAAAGGCCTGGCAGATTTATTTGATTTGCCAAAAATTTCGGACGCCGCCGTCTGGCCTGGTACCATGCCCCTGCACCGACCGCGCACCGTCACTATATTGCGATTTTATCAAAGAAGAACTAAGCATAATTGATGTGCTTGGCCTCTATTCGCTGTGCTCTTCTGACATTTTACACATTGTTGGCAGTCTGCGCTGACCTCACCACACACACATAGGCTTACATATGCGGGCTTATCAAAGGAGAGAGAAAGAGGTCGAGAAAAAGAGAGGCGGGGGAGAGAGTGAAAGAGAGCGGCTTGCAGTGCGATAAATCATAAAGTCAAATTCTTGGGAAAACCAATTGATAGGCAACAAATGTCGTCTACGTCAGCAATCAATATTCATTAAGAATCAATAGTTTTCAATTCTGGTTTATGAGTCACACTCTTTTGATTTTTTAGAGCAACCTTCCATTTCTGGACCACAAATCGGGAACGAACTTGACGCTCCCACGCCAAATTAACAAGACCAGAAAAAAATAAACGGGCACAAATCCCATGGCACGCTCTCTTTCGCCCAGAAAAAAATAAGACAGCATAGCATGTTGCATAAATATTACACAGAAATAGGGAGTAGAGCTTTCTAAAATTAAAACACTTGAGCCGCCGCATGTTCGCTGAAAATAGCGGAGGCAAAGAAAATGCATTTATGAATAAATAAAAGAAAAATAATGAATGAGTGCTAGTACGCTCTCGCTGCAAGCAAGAAAGAGAGCGGCAAAAGCACTTGCACCGTTAACAGTGCTGTCGCTTCAAAAATGGACCATAAAAAGTCGCAAGCATGAAATAAACCTTGCCTTACATATGTAACATAAAAAAACGGATTAAATGAATCTAATAGATACATTATCGCCGTCAGTGATATACTGGTTTGGTTTTTAGATTTGATATTCTTAAAATGAATATCCTATTAAGGTCATATAATAAATTATTATATGGCGAGGATTAATCACAAAGGGCTATCTTGATGGTATAAAATTAGTTTTTTGTAAAGGATCGCAACCAACGTTTATTTGAACCCATTGAAGAACCGATGATTTTAGAGATTTCACTAACTGGGTTGAAACAATATAAAGTATTTAGGAAAGCCAATTTCTCATCTCTGACCGGTTCCACCAACCGAGAGAAATTCCATGCGGCACTGTGCAAGTGTGTGTGAGTGTTCCGCTCTCGGCTAATTGAACACTGGGGCGACTGAGACGGAAACAACGGAGCTCAGGGAGAGAGGACAAGGCAGAAAAAAAAACGGGAAAATTAGGCCAACTGTGCAGTTGGATGCCAGTTTGTTGTAACGAGGCCGAACAGCCAGCCAGCGTACTTTGCATGCCGCCCAACCATAATACATAATTATTTATAGATGGCCATAATGATAATTGGCAAGATTTCGACTTTCACACACTTATTCACACAAGCAAACGCTCGCTGTCGCGAGTCACTCACACATGGGCACTTTTCGCAGCGTTGCTCTTCCGGTTGATGACCTTTACCGGCGTTTTTATTGTGTGTTCTCTTTTCCCCCGTGCGGCTGCTTGGCCTGTCTCTCTTTAGTTTACTTTTTTGTTTCTCCTTATTTTCTTTGCGGCTTTACGCCCGGAATCCTCTGTCCGGACTTTAAATTACTTTCCTTTAAACAAATCTATTCACTATCCGCAATCGATTTGTTTGATGAAAAGGAAACCCATTTCCACAATGAACATTAAATGTTAATTGAACTTTATAGAGTGCAAATACGACAATATTTGATATCTGAAGAAAAGAAACGATAACTGTGCGTCGTAAGCAAATAAGCAAACAACAGAATTTGTAGGTAAACATGTCAGTCTGGAGTTGTAAATACATAAATTCCTCAAGAAGTAGCAGTCAACTTATCAGGTTTACACTGTCCAACAAATGGGAGATTATCTGAAGAAAAGTAAAAAGTACTTATTTTCTTATATGATTGAGTAACCTAACTTTGTATTTTGTTTTTGTAATTAAGAAGGCAAAGCTATAAATCTCTATTGGGACTTGCCATCATTATACACGTACGCAAAACTGTAGTTAAAAAGAATTCTCGTCTTTAGAGTTTTGATCTTTGAGCAATTACTTATCTTCAGAATATCACACATGGTCTATTTTCAGTGTCCATCATAGACAAATATTGAATGTGGTTAAAAAAAGAGCGAAGAACATCGGAATCTTTTGGCCAGAAACATAAAAGCAGAAGAAAGAATAAAAAGAAACCGAAGAAAACATACCCGACAAGCCAGTTATCGCCAGAAGTTCCAGAGAGCAACAACCTTGAATTGAAATTTTTGCAATTTGTGAATTCTTCCATTGGGCTCTCCGCGGAGCCAGTGAAATTTCAAGTTCTAACTGTCTGTCGTGGGAGAGAAGAGAGCAAAGGCGTCAAAAGAGCGAAGCACTGACAGAAAAATACAAATAATTGGAAATATAATGGAAAGAAAGCAAACAGAAACATATTCGATTTTAAATGTATATACAATTTCTAAAATGAACGTTAATGTTATATGAGCGATAAGAAGCTATAGGAAACAGAAACCAGTTTGAAGTAATTTTTAAAGTTCCTATTAATTGGAGTTCAATCTAAATATTGCTCAGCGACTTTTGTCACAAAAGTCTGCCATAAGCAGCCTTTAATTAATTTTTAATCTGATTCATATGTTTACACAACTTTAGTGTCAATATTTGTTCGCTTTAGTTGATTATAGCTAATATACAATTAACAAATCGAATAACGAAAATGTTTTCGGTGCAGAGAGTGGGAGAGCTGAGCCCGGAGAGAAATCTCAAGTATCGAGCTAAGCTCGGCTGCGAATCTTTCCTCCCATTCTTCTGTGTCATTCGCAACTTGTCCAGCGAAAGAGACTACTCGCGAAGTTAGTTGTCCGGAGAAGATTAGCGGCAGTCCAGAATTAATTCCGGTGAGCAATTTGGAGAATTTGCATACGTGTGCGTCAGAATCTTGGCTTTGTTATTTTTGCTTTCAATCTGCGTCAACACCTTCGGGTGCAAACTGTCTCCCAAGTAACTTTCGTTCAAGGCTGCTCAGCAGCTGTGCTCCATGAGCTAATTTTATTCTTTGAGACTTTGTATGAATAAATTTGCGCCTGGAATTGATTTCTTATCGCCCTTCCTCCTCCCAGCCATTAAATTCATCCAAGTGACCTTTTAGTCTTAATTTGAAATTCATCGGTGTGTTGAGAAAGCGGATGCTCGTCCGGTGAATAATCAGGGTTCCAGGAATATTGAGTGCCGCGTTAAACCGACAGTGCAATTGTGTATCTCAAAGTACATATGTATATACAATTATCACCATCACCGCGAACATTTTTATTAATAACACGTCAAGCAAACACAGAGACAACTGCAAGTACATAATTTAGTCATTCTCCAAAAAGAATGTGTGTGTGTGTGTGCCGGCCGGTGAAGTACTGATAAGCACGTACAACTCAAACAGTTCATATACGATATAAGTATATACTATAGAAGAATTGTCGTTAATCTGAAATATAATGCAGATTTTTTTAACAATTTGTATGGTTTTTTTTTTTCACTTTCAAGTTCCCACGTCATCAGTTTTTGTAGTAACTATAATGGAGCTGATAATGCCAAAGGAAATGAAAGCTTATTAAGAATATTTCCCCACATCCGATTATATTTTATAATGGAAACGAGATAGTAACATGGGGTTTTCCCTTTTTTGTCTTTTTATAAATAATTAGATCTCAAAGATTAGCTCTGTAATGTGAAATTTCATTTAAATCATTTTCTTTTTAAAATACAATGATGTTCAAATTAGATTAACGTTGCGATACTTGGCCCAATGACACGTACTCATAAATTAAATTTTTTTATATACCAAATTACTAAACATTCAAAATTTGTTCCGCAGTTTCGCAGTTCCATTTCGCAAAAAGGAGATCCCTGAAGAAGAACCCACGACTGAATCGACAAGATATGCAAATATGGACTTCCACATACTGATCGTCATCGGTTGTGTGTTCAGCGCTTCGCTGCTCTCCTTCCTGTTCATCAACAAGATCTTCCGACGCAAGACTTTCGAGGAGGTGGTGGCCGAGAAGCGCGCCTTGAGCGCCAATCTCTACAAGGCGGCCAGCGGAGGAGCGGCGTCCAAAAAGCCAAAGAAGAAGGAACTGAAGCGCGAAAAGAAGCAACGGCAGCGGGAACAGCAACGGGATGTGAATAACGAACAGCCGGAGGTGGACGAACCTGAGGATTATTCCGATGGTCAGTCGGAGGAGGGGCAGGGATCGGTGGCTGATGATGAGCAGCCCGGTCTGTCCAAGCAACACGTTGAGTTTGAGCCCGATCCAGAGATCCTCAATGAACAGCAGCAACGTCGCCCTAGCAGCGTGGCCGAAAAGGAGAATCAACCAAATACAACTGCGGCTGGCAAAAAAGGCAAAAAGGATAAGCGCAACGGCGGCAACCACAGCAAGGCGGCTGGCGGCATCCTGGTGAACAAGAACGAAGTCCAGGCAGTCAAGGCGGTACCAAGCAACGCCGATGAGACGACGCCCACTCTCAACAACTTCGAAGCTAAGGCACCCAAGGATGTGGTGGAACTGAAAAAGCAGGAGCAAAAGGAGCGCAAGGAGGACAACAACAACAAGCAACAGGCTCAAAAGAAGAACGGTGAAAAGGTGGCTAAAAAGGAAAAACCAACATTAGCTGCCGATCCAGAGCCTGCCATTGTGACCAAGCAGATCCTTAAGCAGCAGAATGGTTCCCCCAAGACTCAGCACAACCAGGCCAACAACAAGACCAAACAGCAGCAGCAGCACAACAACAACAAGCAGAAGCAGAAGGAAACGGCCCTCACCGCCAAGGATTTGGCTGTGGCCTTGGACAAACTGGCTGAGCACCAAAACCAGACCATTGGCGTCAACGCTTTAATGAATGTCTTCTCCCGAGCCGAGCTCAATCGCTCGGAGATTCAGATTCTGATCGATTACCTCCTGAACAAGCAGCAGGATATGCCCGCTTCCCATGCCGAGTGGTCGGATGACATTTGCCAGAAGCTCAAGCGTCAGCTGGAGGAAAAGGAGAAGCTGCTGGCCGAGGAGCAGGAGGCTTCCATTGGCATCCAGGCTAAGTTGCGCGAGTTGCGTCAGGAGGTCAATACTGAGCGCGCTCAAATGCATGCCCGCATTCAGGCCTACAATGAGAAACTCCAGAGCAAGGATCAGGAGCTGTCCAGTCTAAATGATAAGCTAACACTCGAACGACAACAGCTCCAGGTAAGAGAGATATCCGAAGAGATGTTTATTTAGAATTCTTGATTTATGTTTTCATTTAAAAAAAACACCATTTAACCTTCTTTTTTTCTGCCACAGAATCTTTTGAGGGAGAGTCAGGCCAACTCGCAGGACTTGCTGCAGTTGCAGCGCCTGCAACAGGACTTGGCTCACAAGGAGAAGTGCCTGGCTGACATGACCGCGTTTGTTAGCGCTGAGACGCAGCAGAAGAACGAGGTTATCCAGCAGCAGGCTCAGCAGCTGGCAGCCTTGGAGCAGCAGCGCGACGAGCTGGAAGCGCGCCAGAATAACAGCATTTTTGAGCTAGAGCAGCGCAAGCAGCTCGAGGCAGAAAATGCAGACCTGAAACAGGAACTGCGTACTGTCACACAGGCGCAGTCTGAGCTGCAGCGCGTTCACTCATCCGAACTGCAGGAGCTGCGCCAGAAAACTTCCGCCTTGGAGGCCAGTAATCAAACTCTGACACAACAGCTGACTCAAGCTGCCAGCACCGCCGTTCAAGCGTCGGCCGCCCAGTCGGAAAAGGCCCAAGTTCAGTCCGAAGCCTTGGCCCAAAAGCAACAGGAGTTAAGTGCACTGCGCCTACAGGTTGGCACTTTGACAGATGCACAGGCTCAGCAACAGAAACAGGCAAATGCTCTGCAATCCCAGCTTCAGGAGGCACAGCAGCGGGCGGAGCAGCTGCAGGCCAAGGAGAAGCAACTGCAGAAGGAGCTTCAAGAGCAGCGGGAGAAGAATAACGTGAGTTACAATGGGTCTTTATTTTTTTTACTTATTTATAAGAATTGAAAAAAAAACGAAAACTATTCTAACTAATATGTGCGTGTTCAATTTTAATCGAAATCTCATCCCTTTAACTTTGCGTTGTTATATTGTCCACCACTCTGCGCCCTGACTGCATCAGCATCATATCTCTGCTTTCTTTTACTAATTGCAACGTATTTGTGTTTCGTCCAGGACGTGCGTATGAAAAATTGGAAGTTGATCGAAGCGTTGCAAAATGCCGAAGCATCAACAGCTAAGGCAATGGCCAAGACGAAACCAAATACAGCGCAATCCGTGGGCGTAAGTGCATGTGATCTCTGTCAGCTGCTCCTTTCTTAACCTGTTATTGAACCCTTTTTTTATTGGAATTAAGTTGGAAAATGTTTAAATCTTTCCACTCTTTTGAATTGCAGCAACAACACAAAGAGTTGCAACAGCAGCAGCTGCAGCAACAAAAGACAGTGGCCGCCAATGGAGGAGGAAGCGCCAGCTCGGCGAAGAGCGAGCAGGAGCGTATTCGGGGACTCTACCAGCGTCTATATCCCGAGGCGGTGAAAGCGCAAGCAGGGACCGCCCTGCAGGCATCCTTCGACCAGTGGTTGGAACAGGTTCTAACCACCCACGTCAAGCAACAACAGGAGAAGCTGCGGCAGAAGCTCGAGCTGGAGAAGCCAGAGAAGCAGCCCAGCAACAGCAGTAGTCATAAGTCAACACAATCAAACAGCAGCAGCAGTAGCAGTAGCAACCACAATAGCAGCACCCACAACAATATTAGTAGCAATAATAGTAGTTCGAATAGCCAATCCTCCTCCGCCGCCGCCGTCGCCGAACAGCAGAAACTGCACAAACAGAACCTGCAGCTGCGCGAATGTAACGACAAGCTCACCCAGCTGGTCACAAAGACGGTAAGCTGAATTTAAAGACTCTAAATCAAAACTTAACTTTTACTGTATAATATCATTAAACGGAACCTTATTAACTTTCTTTTTTAATATTTTAGACCAACACGCTGATGGTCCTGGAGGAGCGCGCCCGCGAACAGGACGAACATTGGCGTGGCATTGTTGACCAGAAGGAGCAGATTATTGTTAAGCTGCAGCAACATGCCTCAAACGGAGAGCAGGTCAGACTAATTTAATTATTACATTATTGTTTCCCTACTTTTAGTTGTTAATATTTTTAAATTCAATGCGATATTTATCTAGATTGCAAATTTCCATAAATCAAATCAAAAAAATATTTAAATGTGTTATTTACGAATTTGTTTCGCTTTATTTTTTGTATACATTATACATTTTTTGTATTACATTATTGTTAGAAACGGTTTAAGACTGAATCATAAAATAATTACTATGAAATCAAGAAAATCTATATTTATGATTTTAAATACATTTAAATTATTTTTTGATTTGATTTATGGAAATTTGCAATCCAGATAAATATCGCATTGAATTTAAAAATATTAACAACTAAAAGTAGGGAAACTAGGATTAATCTTAAAATACCAATTAATCTCACCAAGTCCGTTTTACTCTTGCAGGACATTTAATGTCGTGGACAAGGACAGGAAGAAGGAGCCCAAAACAACGACGATAAACTGACAAGCAAGAGTTTGTCCAAACTTCCATAACAACAGCAACAACAATTCTAACAATCTATTAAGTTTAAAGTTGAAGGCAAGGAGGAAAGTGGAGTAAATTTAGAGCATGCCCCCAGCAACAGCAACATTTAACATTTTTAATATTAGCGAAGGCCAACAACCCATTAGGATGAACGAGGAACTAAGGAATGCTTAAGAAATTATATATGTATACACAACTAAGGCAAGATAATGAATGGAATGTCAGTCGAAACTTGTGCAATGTTAAAAGGAGAGAAGAGGAATAGGAGAAGGAAGAGAAGCGAAGGAAATGCCAGACTCTGAACGCAGAAGCAGGCAGTTTCCACCTAAGCCCAAGCCCTCCCAACAAAAACCTACCAGAAAAACAGTAACAAGAAATCCATTGCTGCTGCTAGTATCTTATTATTATGATTATTTGTCCCACACACTTTGCATGCGATTATTATTTGTGTTATACTTGCATTTAGAGAAGCGCGCGCTATTATCAATTGTATATGTATGTATCCTATGTTAAGCAAATGAATTTAAAACCCACAGCTACTTAAAATCCATAAAAACAAAGAATATAAACTAGTATGTATGTTTGTGTATATGTACTTGTATTTGACGAATTTTTGTATGTTTTCCATGTCTGTTTTCCTATTTGTACTCTGTTCTATATATTTCCCCCCTGTGAAGGAGCAGCGCAAAGTATTGAAACCCCAGAAAGTGCACGAGCTAACAGCAGCAGCAACATTTAATTAAGCAAACATATATAAACAAAAAATAAATACCTATTTTTATATAAAAACTAAATGAGAAGCTAATGTTTAAGTAAACGCAAATTAAACTCACGAATGCTAATGCTAATTAGCGATTAGTTGTCGAGAACCTGTTGCATGCGACATAGAGTAAGCCGAGCAATGCGCATCGGCGGTCACAACCAATACAACAAATGAATGAGCTATAGCGCATTATAAAGAATTATGATGTATAATTTACGATAAATGAGAATTAAATACATACACACACATATGAAAAAGACATTTGATTGCTTATTGTTCTTATTCTGATATTTCATCCAATAGTTGAGCTTACACGGGAATGTTATGCGATCTCTGCTGGGTATTTACGGGTTAAACAACCGACTGGATTATGTGGAAGCAGAAGTGTACAAACAGCTATATATAGTTAATTCATGTTTTTAGCTTGTACGTGATAAGCGAAACCTTAAGTAATCGGCCAGGTTTTGATTCATATAACAAGAGAGAAAACTAATTTCAAGGCGGAGAACTGCAATTGAATAATGGAAAATCTTTCCAACAGAATATATTAAAACCATTTAAATCTAGAAATACCAAATCATTGCTAACTTGCCAAGGTAACTATAAACTGACGAATGATGTCTTTTTTACTTTGTCGAGGTCAGTTGTATTATTTTTGTAAGAATTCAAGGATCGATACGTGTAAGCAACAACTTTCTGTGAGATATTTCTGGCAGTTCCTGGGAATCAGTTGCGTGAGTCAATAAATATTTTAAATCTATTGGTGCCCTCATTCTTTAATTTTTTTCTCTCTCTCATAAGTAACTCAAATTAAGCTTACATGCTAATTATTGTTGCTGGGGGCTCCCCTGCTGGAGGGGACTTGAAGGTTGTGCAAAGGAATGATCATGTGGAAGGGATACTGTAGCAGTTCAGTGCATGACGGGCGCTTCTTAGGATTCAGCTGCAGGCAGTTCTTGGTCATCTAAAAGTTAATATTTCGTTTGATAAACAAAAATCTATATAATATATAAATGCAACAACTAACCTGAACCAGCATGACAGGATAGTAGGGAGGAATGGCAGGATACTCGATGCTGGTCGCCGGACTAGCAATTGCATTCATCTTGGCGTAGATGTTCCGAATGTGACCGAACGGAGTCTTCTGGTACAACAGCAAATACAGAATACAGCCCAGCGACCATACATCCGACTTGGTTGAGATTTTGATCTTGGGTTGATTGCCACCACCCCGCAATGGACTGTTACCCGTGGAGGTGTCCGTTAGGGCCTCGGGACTAATGTAGTTAAAAGTGCCCGCCTGTGAAAATTTGATGATGCTCGTCGAATCCACCGAGATGTTGCTGGCGATCCCAAAATCGATCAACTTCAGACGTCCGTTGGCCATCAGAAAGTTGGCTGGCTTTAAGTCGGAGTGAATAACGCCATGCTGGTGAATGTAGTTAACAGCCTGCAGCATCTGATAGAGAATGTTTGTCAGGCTATACAACGGCAGATTGGTGGTGTAGCTCTGCAGGATCTTGTTGAGATCACAATCGCCCTTCTCCATCACCATATAAAGCTTGGACTCTTCGCGCAGAAGTTGACTACGGTAATAGAAGTTCTTTTAGTTGGGATACTAATCATATAATGTAGACTTACTAATCGTAAAGGGCCACAACGCACACATTTCCCTGCAGCTTCGCAAGGAGCTGGGTTTCGTTGAGATACCCTGCACCACCAAAGGATCGGCCTGCAGATCCACTACCTTTAGCGCAAACTCATCTCCGGAATCCGAGCGACGTGCTAAATAGACCGAACTGGATCCGCCACAACCCAGTTTCTTAACGATCGTATACTGGTGATTCTTTATATTTAGTATATTCGATATTTTTGAAGAGGAGGTGCCACCTGTAGAAGGTACTACCGGATCCGCTGTAACTGAGGGTACTGACGCCACCACTTCCTTGGCTTCGGTAATCTCCACTTTTGGGGGCACTTGCTCGACTTTTTCCAACGCAGTGAACGCACTCTCGAGAGACTTTTTGGATTTTCCATTCACTGACTCTTGCTTTGGCGGCGGCTCCGGAATGTCGGGACTCTCGCTGATGGTATCGCAGAGCGAGAAACTAATACTGTTGCTGGGGAATGGAGCCGCTCGACTCACGGTCATAGGCGTTTGGAAAGAACCTTCTGGGAGCGAAACTCATTGGCCGCCGTAGGACCTCGACTCTTTGCCGATTGAATTGATCCGTAAGTTCGCACTTGAGGGGTTACAAAATCAGTTTCTGGCTTTGCATGGGACTTTGCCTCCACCGTGGATGAGGATGTGGCGGAAATTCCCTTGCGGAGCGGTGTCTCGGAGTCCACGAGGCGGCGTCTCTCCGCGATGGCTGCATCCACGAGTTGACGTCTCTCCGCAACGGCTTGGATCGTGGAGAGTGTCTTTTTAACTGGCACCTGCTCCGCCGCCTCCTCACCAGGTGATCCCTGGTCTGTGCAATTGATGCCCATTTTGTTAAAGCGACCCAGAAACGATAGATTCGATTCAGATGCCTTAAGAGGAGCGGCAGCAGTGGTGGTGGACGTTCGACGGGTTGGAATGCTGTGGTTGCTGCCCGTCAATTCGTGATTGGGACTCATTACAAAGGAATCGTTTAGAATGGCGCAGTTCAGGTTGTGATTGCTCTTGTTGTCCTCCTCCTCTTCGCTGTCAGAATCCATCATTGTCAGCTCGGAGGCTCGACGGGGTCTATTGTGGAGATAGAAAAGGTTAAGATGCAACTGTATCGAAACAATCTTAAAAAGATAGTAATAATAATAAAATTCTTAGAGATATCTCTCACTGGAGCAATGTGTATATTAAAATAATGGAGAACCAGCTTCGTAAATTAAAATGAAGCCATATAAGGGCGTTGTAAGGATTTACTAATAAGAAACAAATGCCCCAAACAGAAAACAATTAATACGGGAGACTTCAGTAGAAGAACTGAATTGAAGGGGAAGGAGATAGATCCTCACAGCATTTCCATGGGCCGCAAGGGCGGATGCGGCTCGTTTTCCTTGCCCCTCGCCGGAATTTGCAATGACGACGCCACCGCCGTAGGTTTTTTGGTCTCCACGGTGATTCGGGATCTCTGCGGGCGGAATGGCGTGTTGAAATCGTTCTCCGAGTCTGAATCCGACGCTAGCGCCATCATATCCTTGGTGCGTCGCGGCACAGGAGTAGTCATCTCTCCCATTAAATATATTCCACCCGCAAATTGTTTAAAATCTTATTTGTTGTTTTTTTTTCTTGTTCAAACTAGAGCTGGAAAAACATCGATGACGTTATCGAAAATATCGACGATCGATTGTCGTTGTAATGAAAATAAACTGGTTGGATTTAAAAATAAAAAATATATTCTCTGTTAATTCCCATCCTACAAATGTTAATATAAATGCCTTTGGCATCTTTTTTTTATTATTAATTATTTATTTATTTATTAATAATTTTGTTACCCTCGATCCCGTTTGTTCATATCTGCATCTAAAATAATTCTCCGCCAGGCAAAATATAACTGTAACTTTAAAGGAAATGGTAAAGTTTTATATAATAATAATGAAAACACCTAATAAACTATAAGTAATGACGGAAAACAAAATAATTTAAATTTTCTAATTTGAATTTAAGATTCTGGTGGTCTTCGCTTATCGATAGCTCAACTTCTAACAAGTTGGCAGCCCAGCTCCGAGGCGACAGCAAGTAAATTGGCGGCGTGAGTTAAAGATTTTATAAGAACTTCAAAAATAACGACATTTCCTTTTGAACTAATTATTTTATATTGGATTTAAAACAAATGGATGGGCACATTTATATGTATTAGATTAAGGGTAACTAAAAAAATTAACTTGAGAATTAGTTTATATATTATATTTTAAATTATAACAGATCGTATTCAACCATTTTTAAGTTTAAGCCAAACAGAAATTAAAACAATAAGTATTTCAAATGTAATCGATATGCGATCACAATATAAATATTTATTCCTATGGGAAAATATCGATATATTGATATATATCGAAATCCCTAGCCGACAACAAACAAACAAAGCAAAGCAAAAAGGGGAAATAATTCGAAAATTACGCAGCGCAGATGGATCACCAAGCAACAGGCGGAGGCGCCGTCCAACCGGGCAGGTCTCCAGCTCATGACCACGACTCGGACCAGCTACTGGATCCCGTGCTCTTCTCAAACGACAATGGCAATTTTAAGTTGAACACAGTGCCTGCATTTAGGTGAGGTTGAGACAATGAAACTAGACTCTGCCGGCGGCAATGAATCATATTCACGTCACTGCAAGGGCTTCGCATGCGATGATGCACCCAATTAACCCCAACCCTGTACTTCTGCAGCCTTCATCTGCTTATCTCTACGGCGATTTCGTTGGTGGGCATCGTACTGGCGGCCTCGTTTCCAGCAGATCGGCGCTGTGATGCCTACTTCATCATGCTATACCTACGGGCCACCTTCTGGGTAATCACATATGTATGTAACCATTGGAATCATTCCCGACCTGCCTCAATAATGCATCGACATTTCCCCAGCTCTTTGATCACTTTGTGAAGAAGCAACACGACAATCTACGCTTGAACGGCTACCACGATTTCCATCGAGATACAAACATGCAGAAGGGGATTCCCCTGCAGGTAGTGTCGCTGTGGAACTCTATGCTGCTGGCCGTGCAGGCCCTTATCCATCACTTCTACGGCGAGAACTTCTGGGAGCATTGCGCTGCCGAATGGCTGTCACCGGTTAGCTATGTCACCGCCTTCACGATTGCCGAGAATGTGGTGCTGGCGGTGTCCCACAGCTGCTATATTGGTAAGCTTGGTTTAATTAAAGCGTGGACTGGTGGGAATTATAACCAAGGGCTACTACATTTTCTTTGGGTTTTCCAGATGTAGGTTGAAAGATTTAAAAAGGAACATTTGCGAAGAGGTTTTCTATAAACTAGTGAATTAGTAGAGTCCTTTGTTTAAAACTGTTTACAACCTTTCTATTGTATAAGGCAGTATATGATTAGACCATTTAAATGACATTATCCCACTAGAAAATGTCCACCTATATATAAATTAAATCTTATTTGAAATACCATTTTTCATTCCAGATAAAGTGCGTAAATTTAACAAAGCTAAGCTGGCTCCGGATGTTCTGCGTGGTGCAGACCGTGTCGGTGGTTCCCTGGGCCTCATGCAACCCGGCGGCGATACCGCCGAGCTCCTAGAGAAGCAAGCGGACCTTATCGCTTATTTGCGTGATCACACGCACAAACTCAACCAGAAGTTGCACCAAATGCAGACCAATGTGCGCCCTGTGCGGGCTCCACAGATTCCTTAAAGACAGCCTAACAGTGACTATATATATATTATTTGTATTATCATATTATTTTTGCCGACGGTTCTCTTTTTATTTAAAAAAAACGAAAACATCTTTTTCATGGTGAAGAAATATTCTTCAAGTAAATTAACTGCAGTGTATGCAATTGAGCGTTAAACAAAAAATATCAATTTGTAAATACAGAGAACGTAATTAATAATCCTTGATCAATAATTAAGTCCCTTATGCTGTATACTACAAACAGATGTGTGTGTATGTGTGAACTTGTTAAATTAAACAGATTTATACAATGTAATGCTAAGCTTTTCATTGGGCATTAACCATGGCTGGGGCACTTCCAGTATCCCAAGAGAGTTGTCTTTAGAAGATGTGACGATCTGTAAGCATTAAAAGGCACGGTATCATTAAATTGAGTTCTATGTGTAAGGTATTAAAATAAACTCACTTTATCGCCAGCAACGACCAGGGCTAAAACCAAACGCCCAGCGCCTTCAAAACGTCCCACTTGTTTGCGAGTCACCTTGTCCAGGACATAGATGAACCCATCGTAGCAGCCAGCCAGCAGATAACGCTCTTTATAAGAGACAATCGAAACAGCACCATTGCCACAGTTCAATTTGGTGACCAAGTTGCCAGTCTGAAAGGAGATAATACCATAACTTAATACTCAATTAACTCGGTAAACTTTGTGTTATTACTCACAGCAAACTCAAATTGGTAGACCTGATTTTTCTGCGTGCCACAGTAGATGTGTCCATCGCTCAGCAGCAGGCCGTAAACGTGCAGCCCCTCAGGCACACAGAGACGGCGAAGCAGCAATCCGTTGGTGGCATCATTAATGTAAATAGAGCTTCCCTTGCATCCGAGAATAAGGATTTGCGAACGCCCTCCTTGGTAGCCTTGATGGTAATGATGGAGTTTCCAGTGGAGACTAGCGACAAATCTGCCTGCTTGTTGGTCTGAAATTTGTAAATGTTTCGGAAGGATTGTCATTGCTGTGAGTCTGTTGAAAATATTCATACATTTTATAGCTTACTCTAAGAATCTCCAAGAGTTATAATACTATTCAAATAAATTGCATTATACTCGAAAACATTCCCAAATTATTTAAGCAAAATATTAAAAAATTGAATATCCTTTGGAGATGCGGGGTATCGATCCCCGTACCTCTCACATGCTAAGCGAGCGCTCTACCATCTGAGCTACATCCCCGTTGTTAATTCACTTCTTTTATTGCCCCTTAATAGGTACGGACGTACTGTTAACGTCTTTGATTTTGGGCCTTCCGTAGTTACGTGCTCATTAAAATTCCCAGAGTGCATTGTCATGACATTCACGCGTTCGATCCCATAAACAAACCGAAATGGTCAAAAGAAAGCATTGTCCAATGGGTACATACATATGTATACTTTTGCGTTATAAATAAACACTGCGTTGGTAGGAACTTATTTGTGTAAAAAGTTTATATATATTCATGAGAATGTTTATACGATTTCATGATTAGATAAGACGTCTTATCTGTCTTAGGTGTATAAATTAAATTCTAATTTGCAATGCTTAAGGTGATTAAATGATTATAATTTTATATTTGTATAGTTTTCAAACCTTTGCAAAGGGTATTATTAATTGTGAATTATGACTTGAAAGTTCGAAATGCATATTGAGACATATTGTGCTCCATATTGAAAACATATTTTTGATCAGCATTGAATTAGCCAACTTTGCAAAGTTTTATTTTCCTTTCGGGTCGTTGTCGAAATGGAATAAATCGGACTAGCATATTTTCATTTACTTCGATATATAGAAGTTTCTTAATATTTTCTGAATTACGGAATGTTTCTACGAGGTCCTTAAGAAGAATTAAAGACAATTGATTCATACTGAGACATTTTTGTCAACATTTATCCTTTCTTTAACATTGATATAACAGTAGCCAATCTTAATCTTTGAAAGCTCTGTAAAAACTTTATTTAGTTATTAATTTATAAAAATTTGCAGCACATTTAATATCAATCAATTATGAAAGCATTAATAATTATTATTAATTAATAACTTAGATGTTGAGAGTCGTGCATAGTTTTAACTATATAAAAACTAGGAACTAGGTTTGTTAAAAAAATAACCAATTGATTAGATTTAAACATTTTGCCATCGTCTTGATATTAATTTTTATACCATGAGGCATCAGCATTAACCGAAAATTTAAAAAAAGCTTAAATGAAATATGGCGGAGTTCTTTAACATTTCTTAATCAACATTTGCCGGTAAAACCTTGATCACAGGAACAATTTTGGTTTAAAATTTAAGTTATTACTACCACACAAATCATAAAAAATAAATAGGAATTTCCTTAAGAATTTTCTTGTTAAATAAATCATTGATTTGTACTGATTTTCATGGAATTAAAATATCGATTCAAGAAACCTTTTCGAAAATGTAGTACTAATAAAAAAACTAGTTTCTCCTTAAATAAATGCACAAAACAGAGCCTAATTATTTTTAATGCAGGTGTACAAGTTTAAATGAAATTCCAGTTCTGCAGGAGTATAAATTATATTTGTTCATTCTTAAATTTGTTGAAAATGTTAAAGTTTAAACTAAAAACGCTTGAAAACAAATACCTTACAGAAATAGTAATAAAACCAAATTCAAACTATGATACAAGAATAAATTCCATTAAACGCGAAAAATAATTGCAATCGGAACCGAAACCAAACAACAGGCAATATCCTTCAGACATAGATAGATACCTCCCTCCAATCCACAATTAATAAAGCGAGATGGAGCGATGTAGTGCATTTTTATGTACCGTTATGTCTTCAGCCATTCGGCAAGATGGCGTCCAGGAGCAATGTGCCTCCAAAAGAAAAGCAAAAATACAAATAAATTGCTTTTGGGTGGCAATACAATGCACTGTGCAGTGTGGGAGTGGCAGAAGCAATGTGTTTATTTAGTGGTTGCACTTGCCACACCCACCCAACGGTATGTGCAGTGTGCCACGTCGAACAACAATAGAAAAGCTCACATAAACACGAAAAAGAGTTACAGTCACTTAGGACCACATAACGGTACAAACAACCAACCCGATGTGGCCAAGGCAGCCAATGAGAAGGCGGTACGAGCAGCGAACACCAACACACCAACACACAGTCGCAACAACAAGCCATAGACAAGGCGTCAGTTTCCAGAAACACAACACAACAAACAGGAGCCAACCAGCAAGAAAAGCCCACGCCACAACAACAACAATAACAGGACCTACGAGAGAGAAAGGCCGAGAGCGAGGGATAGAGAGTGAGAAAGGAGCAACAGGCACGAAGACAATTCCAATTGCAGCTCCTTGGAAAGCTCTCTCCTACTTGCAGTAAGAGCGAAGGATAGAGAGAGAGAGCCTGAGCAAGCGAGCTTCAGAGAGCGCATCCTCGTTAGAAATCCTGAGAGCTGGAAAGAGGGATTCGTTTGTATTTTATTTAAAATTGTTTTGGGTAAATAGCATATAAACATTTTATTTGCTGCTGCCAAAAACCTAACGAATGGCAGTAACTATATGCAACTAAAGCTAAACTGCAGCGCAAGGACATGCGCAGACAGAAAGCAAAAGAGAGAGAGATAGAGAGGGATTGCAGTGTGAGTGCCGGCGAAATATACCGTTAACTAAACAGGCACACATAAAAACTTAAATAAACAACAATAGAGAGCTCTGTGGAATGAGAGAGGAGAGTGCGAGTAAGCAGGACAACCCATCCTTCTCCCCAATGAGTGTGCAAGCAAGATAGCAATAGACAACTGAGACTGCAAGTCCTGCAGTTTGCTGTTGTTTGTTGCAACTAACCCCCAGCCCCGACACTATATACGTATGTACGCCGCCTGGGCTATATACTTCTCCTCGTCGGCCAAACAACGTGCAGCAAACACGGCACACAATAAAGCACAAAACACCAGGCGAGGCTAAATATCAAGCAATAGCAGCAAGGCGGGCAAAAAACTGCAGTACCAGCAACGCCCTCTATGTGCTCCACATAATGTCTACGTTCTACGTTCTGGGGCGTGGCATCTTCGCATATTTACCAAATACCAAATAACCAGACTGCACCTAGGACTGTACTCGGTTGCCTACCAAGTCCTTGGTACAGTTGCTCCCTCCACCCACACAACAGTTAGGAGTACAGTTGCCCCCACTCCAACTACTCGGAAGTTGCCGCCATCTGCAATACAATTACAGGTACAGTTGCCTCATTTCTACTAAGTACGGCATTAATAATGGCACCGGCCATGGGTAGTTTTTTCTAGACGTCTTTCATATGTACATATATATAAATGCATTCCACTTTTTACTCTAGAACCTCAATTATGCTGAAATATTTATTTAAATGATTTTCATTGAGCATTGATATTAACCCTTCTACCTTTATTTAACGCAACATGTTATATTTCTCCTTAAAATGTATCTTAGCCTCACTTCCTTGCTCATTCCGTCAAGTACAGTTGCGCACAAACGAAATAAACGCAGCATAAATTCGGTGGCATGAGTTATCAGCACGTCGCAGCCATAAATCGAATTTCTGCCAGAATTAAGACTTATAGCTCTCTTCTACTTCTACCACCCTCGATGTGAAATATTCTAATGAAGTATCAGCTCAGCACCGAAACTCCCTTTTCTCGCGGATGCCTTCCATACTATCCAATTTGTTAAATTCCGCGAGAGAAAAAAATATATGTATGTAAAGGAAAAATAAATTCGATTTGATTTCCATTGTCTAGACGTTCGTTTTTGGCTCTGCTCATTGCCAATTCGTTAACTTCTGGTGTTGTTGTTGGCTCTCGGGCAAGGTGTGGACTTGTCCTCGAATGTGTGGCTGTCCTTTTTTGGAAGGACCCGCGAGACGTAGCACAATATTTTAATTGAAATTGTTCAAGTGTTTGTTTGACAGATAAATATTTAATGAGTCAAATTAAGTGGCGTAAAGGCATTGAAGGCAGATTGATTGACCTCCCACACGGTTGCAAGTTCTTCTGAGTTATTGGTTTAAATGATAAATGTTATTGAAAATCTAAGGAAGTGAAAATTTAGAAAATGTCCCGATAAGTTCCTTCTAAAAAAACAGGATGTTTCAGAAAAATTATACGCTGATACCATTTCGAGAATAATTAAACACAATTTTAGCCAGGATAAAAAAATTTTAAAACCTAAGAACTCACCGTCACATCAAAGGTAAATATGTTTCCCCAACGACTTCCAATGAAGGCCACTCCCCAAGCAATGTCAATCGACTGAAGAGGTTCCTTGAAGTAAACAGTTTGCATGACGCGCTCTAGGTTCTGTGAAAGTAGGTTTTGAGATATAACTTATTAAGGAGAGCGGTGTAAGGGATACTAAGGCAACTCACCAACAGCGAAGTCTTCTTGAAAAATCCATCCACCGACGTGGTATAGAGAACAGAGTCCTTCTCACACAGAAACATATTTGTGATGGCTTCACTGTGCTTGGTTATCTTCCGCTCCAGTTTATGACTGATCAGGTGGAACTTGTAAATATCTCCATCCTCGGAGGCGGCAATTACATGTTTCCTAAAGATTCGCAGCTGAGTAATGGACTCGTGACGTCGTGCAGCATTCCACGAGGCACAAACCCAAGATTGTATTGGGAGTTCAGTTCTGGATAGTTAGTCAGAAAGTCAGTGAAAGATTCCAGTTCGTCGGACAAGTGACAGATTGGTTCAGGAGGCGGTGGTGGTGGTGGTAGCGGTGGTATAACAGCCAATGGATGTTTATTCACACTGGCTTTCGGTTTGCTCAGAGGCGATGACTTGGGTTTGGCGGTGGGCAGGGAGTCCGCTTTATGATCGCAGATTGTCTCATCCTTGATCTGTTCTTTGACATCCGATAGGTTCTCTTCTAGCCTTAGTTCCCCTTCTTTGACTTGCCCTTGGTCACGCTCCTCCTTATCAGCATCCTCTTCATGCGCTGGAGGAATTACCTCCTGCGATTTGGCACTTTTCTTGGTGGATCGTTTCGGAATTAGTTTCACGCGTCTGGGCATCAGCTTTAAAAATCTGAATCTTGATTTGCTCCTTGTTTGCCTGATATTCTCCTGTTGTGTTGGCTCCTGGGTAGAGGACACAGGAGTAGGTGGGTTTCTAGAAGACACCGCTGGTAGAGGCGGTGCAGATGTGGCCGCCTGATTACTAGAAATCAACAACATTATTTTGCGACTTTGCAACTCTAGGCTTTGCTTGTCCAAATGGGAAATCTCTTTCTGAAACTTTAAAATCATTTCCTCGAGAATGCTGCGCCGATTCTGGTTCTCCATCAAATGGCGATCAATTTCAGTTATATTCTGGCATAAAAGGTCTCCCACCTGACTAAAGGGTTCAGTTTTATCAGTCCCATTTCTTAGCTGAGAATAAGCAGCAGGAGAAATGCGATAATAATTGGAATCCATTGACATAAATGGCAGACCGATGGGATATGGTTGTGGATTTTGGGCTGCCTGCAAAGCTGGAGGGCTTGGGTGGGCAACTAAGGGCGATAGACTTACAACGGAAGTCGATGCTAAGGAGCTCTGATGAGCAGGTAATTGCTGTGGTCTCTGATCAATAGATGTTGTAGAAGAATTGTGATTGCATGAAGGTGAGGAAGACGTCTTTGGTATTTCTTTCACTACTTGTTCTACTTTCTTGGGACTAGAGCCATTGACCGCCATCTGGTCCTCCTGCTCACGACGACGCTGCTTTTGTAGACTTACCACGCTGACAATCTCCTTTAGGAGAAATTCGATACCCTCCCTGTTGTCAGGGGCTTTGAGATTTCTCTGTATCTTGGCCACATCAATTTTACTGAATGTCTTCGGGTTGTGCTCTGAGCTGGTCACAACGCAGGAGATGAAGTGCAGGCGGCTCTGCAAGTTAGCAGAGTGCTGAAGGTGATAGCGATCCGAAAGCGTATCCCGAAGATGCGGAAGAATTAGCTTTTCAAAACTATCCACCACGTTTTCTGCGTCACTCTGAAGCTTCAATTTGAAGCGCCTCTTTTCGGATTCGGTGCTACAATGGGAACTAGAGGAGTGATCACTGGCAGCGTCATCGATGGTATCGAGTTCAGGGTCTGGTGGGAGTTCCATAGCCTGATGTTCAATTTCTATTACACGGCTCCCTTCTGGCTCATCTATCTCCATATTCACTATGGAATTCTCTTCATTAACGTCTTCCTCAGAGGAGCTCAGGAGCTCTATCACATCCTTTGGGAGAGGACTTATCCGAATTGGAGATGTGTTTGATTCGATTTTAATTTTTGTATTGAGGGGAACATTGATCTCTGTAGAGGTTACCATTGCGGTTAATTTGATCTTTGTGCTATTCGGGTTTTGTTTTAAAGATGATGTGTTCGTGGAAGAAGGCTGATCTTTAGTTTTTGACAAGATAGGAGAGGGACTATGTTCCATGTCGACATCAGCATTAAGAGGTGCAATAAGCTCTGGTGTGGATATCATACCAGTGGTTTCGCTTTCTGAACCAATAGCCTTCGTGTCCTTTGATTTTTTCTTTGGCGATTGAGCAGTCTCTTTGACGTGTTTCGTAGGCAATTCAAACTTGCTGGGAGTTCTCCCACCAGATGGGGTGGGCAGTAAGGGACCACGATTCTTAGCCATACGTTTCCCTGCCATCATCTTAACCTCGTCAGCTGCCTTAAGCCTAGCCATTAGATCCTTGGCACGCTTCATCTTAAGTTCTAATTTGTTCAGCTTTTGATTCTCTCTTTTCTTTCGGAGAGCCAGTATTTTTAGCTTCTTGTTTGATTGATCGTCGTGTTGACACGAATAAGATCACTAGGTGCAGAAACTGTGTTGTTATTTGCAGTGAACCCCTTAGCTACTTTATTTTGATTGCTGGTAGCTTTACTTTCAATTCTGAAAGGCTGCTCTTTAGTTTGATGCTTGCTCTTCTTACCGGACTGCTCACTATCTTTGATAGACTCGGAATCCTTACTATTAGCTGCAACTTTTTGTTGCATTCTTTACTGGCTGGAAGATCTTTTTTACTGCTTTCTTCTTCACTAATTTCCGTTCCAGAGGCTTTGATTTTTTCCAGCGGGTTTGGGTTCTCTTCAGTTTCCTGTACTTTGTCTTCTACAAAGTCTTTCCCAAAACACTTTTCTATCTCCTGCAGCAAAAATTCGGGTAATTTAATGGCATCTACGATTTCATCCTCGATTAGTTCCGTCGCAGGGTTATTCTTGGGCTGCTCAAATTCAATTGCTTTTAGCTGTCGGCGAATCTCTTCGCGCAATCGCTTTCGAGCTTGAAGTTTCAAGTGTTCGTCGTAGATTGTATCACCGTTGTTGATTATGTACTTAAGACTCTCCTTATCCATACCGGCAATGCGATTATTGATGATGGTTTCGCTTTCTGCAAGCTGGCTTGTGCTGGAACTTGTGCCATTTTGGAGGTTACTACTCACAGTCCGACGACGGGGTTTGAGAAGGGGTTTGAATGTTTGGCGACTTGGACTCGAAATGGAAGCGGGTGGAGTAAGGCTAGCAGCCGGTCTTTGACCAAGACGATTCTCTTTGGTAACCGCTAGGATCTCCTCCTTAAGCAGCTGGGTGAGGGGACGAACTTGAATACGCGGAGGATTGGGTGATGATTGAATAGCCTCTGCGATTGTGTTATCCTCACTGGGTTTGATTTGATTGTTTTTCTTCTGCTCTTTACTGGGGATTTTATCCTTCTGCAGATCAACTTTAGATGCTTCAGTTAGTATTTCACAAATTGGTTTGTTTTTCGCCAATTCAACCGAGTTTTTGTTTATGTCATCGTTGGGCCCGCTTGGATGCGAACTTCTCTCATTAAGTTTTGAGTCATTGTGAAGGCTGGACTTTGAAGACTTTTCTTCGCTCCACCTGCGCTGATATCTGTGGTGTTGGTCCCTGTAGTGATGATCTCGATATCTACCGGAAGTGCGGTAGTTCTCTTCAGGATGTCGCGGTTTTCTGGGACTCCTCTCTGGATCTCTCTCTCCACTCCTCTCCCTACGTTCGCGGTAATTATTTGAATGATAATCAGTTCTCTGGTTATAATCTCTCTCTTGGCGTCCCCTACTTCCGTAGTTTGAATTATTGTATCGTCGGTAGGGCGGATCCCTGTGATTATAGTTACTCCACTACAACATGTTAAGCAGTTAAAATATATAATAATTAAACGATAACCCCATTTACTTACCGCTCTATTCTTGAAGGAACCGCTGTAAAAAAAAATAAGAAAATAACACATTAGTCAACTCTATTCCAATTAACCACAATTAGATGCATTAAAAAGGCATAGCTATGGAAACACAGAGCTCTTGCAAAAGGTGAAAACTTTTGCAAACAATAAAGGAATAATTAATGTAATCAAGCAACGTGCCCAAAGTTCTCTTGAAACTTCTTGCACGTAAGAAAATGAACGGAGAAATGAAAGAAAGCTTTTGCATTAATTTAACAGATTTAAAATTTATAACCACTGAACCTCTGAAAACCATTCCACAAAAAAAGCATCCCTCTGGCTATTTGTGTATGCAAAGGTGCGAATTCCGTTGGCTCTTTGTTTTATTTTTCTTCCTCTCGAAAAATCTCGTTAAGAAATGCTAAAATATACGACCACAAACCTTTGCCTTCTTTTGTTAATGTCATTTGTAACATGAACTAATTAAAAATGTAAAAGTGAGAAAGTTTAAGTCTTGTGAATAAAAGGGAATCCGAATGGATTTGGAGTATGTCGTAATTAAAACAATTAAAGGTGATTTTTCCATGTTCATTTATCTATATTTTGTAGATAAATCATAGTAAAGTAATTCCCTTAAAAAAAGGTAATTCTAAAATATTTATGATCAATAATTGCATATGTCATTATTGTGAAAAGACTAATACGGATTTAAGCCCTAAATAACTTCTTATTTGATTTTATCCGTTAAAGTAAACAAATTGTTTATTTTGTTTGTAAAAACTAAGACATTTCAGGCCACAGCCTTAAAAAGACATCTTTACTGTTTCTAATTTTAAATACAAATAATCCTTTCTAACATTAAGTCAAAGAAATTGTTTGTCTTAAACAAAACCGCATTGCCACAAATTCTGGTGGGTATTCCTTCAAGGAACCCCTTTACATCTGACTTGATATGTTTTGGGCTTTAATTAAAACCAAACAAAGCAACACGCTTCTTGTCAACGCCAAAACAAAGAGTAAAAGTTGAAAATTACCTCAAGCTGTTGCACAAGGAGGCGGACCCTTCAAGTCACCCCACTAATTGTTCCAGCTCCTGCTCCAAAATCTTGAGTTCCCCCTTTGTTTATCGGTAGGAAACATTGTGAAAACATGTGGGAAACGTGGCTGTGCTTAAAAACACATTACAAGTACAAGACAATTAGTTTGTCTCATATAAAACGCGACTGGGACGGTTGGTGGGATTCCCCCGAAAGCCGAATTTTGTTTTCCAACGGCAAGAGTTAAACGTTTTCATATTTATGAGGCTCGTAAAACTCAATGATATACAAAATTAATGACAAAAACGTAGCAAGTGGCACTTCTTCTTAGCTGCTTCCACGCTCTCTGGCGAATCGTAAAAGAAACGCTACCTCAAAAACTTTTGTCAGCATTTACCTGCCAGCGGAACGGCAAGGGGGGATTTGTGTGCTGGAAAACAGAGGTAACTTAGAGAGGGAATGCAGGCAAACTTATTCAAGCGTCTTGTAATTTTAATCTCAAGACAGTCTGTGACTTTTTTAGCTCAAGTATTTCAGCTTGAGGAACCACTCGTTCCATCTCAACTTCTTTCCACGTTATTTTCGTCCTGAGTCTATCTCAAGGTGTCACGTACAATTTGGTTCCTTTTTTAATTGACTTTGGACCCGGGAGAAGTTTATTAGTTGAAGGCGACTTTTTGGCTTGATTTGAGCAGTAGGTGCTGTCTTGTATAAGTGTATTCTTCCTGCTCATTAGAAAGGACTTGTCACACATACGCCTCCGTCTCCTTGTGGACTTGTCCCCCTTTGCTCACGAGGTCCGTTTCCGGTTCCGATAAGGGAACGTGTTATTGTTGACTCTCAACGGTTTGAGTTGGGAAAGGCATCCTTTTTCACTCATCACTGCATAAATTTTCCAAAGTTTATTTTTTCTTTCCGCAACGCGTTATGCATATTAATTTTTCCGGCCAAAGAAGAAAAATTCAAGTTTTTTATTTTTCCTGTTCCCAAAAGTAAAAGCAAAAGCAAGAGTCATTTTTGATTTCCGTTTTCTTATGACTACTTGTCGTTGGAAAAATTATCACAACAACATAAAAGTTTGTCTTAAAGCATACATAATATGTATGTGTTCTAATTTTTTATAGATCTACTAAATACTTCAAGACACACAATTAAAAGACAGGTGGACATGGTATGGGTGTAAAAATGTTAATTTAACATGGAGAAATCATAAGAAGAAATTGATTGCTACTATTGGTGTAATTGTTGTAATTGGTGTAAGTTCTAAAGTCATAAAGTCTATGACAGCTGATGTCTTATATGAAAAGGGGCGAAGCGGGACAAAAGACTGTTTTACAAACCTTATTATGTTATGCTGATCAAGAATATACATATATTCGGAATTGGGTATACAAATAAATGTTAGGGCTGTATTAATTCGATACATCAATATTAACACTCCATAGGTGATATCTTAACAACCTAATAAGTGATATTCACTACATTGTTATAAATTGTTCTTCTTTGTTATAGATCAAGCCCCTATTGAACACCGCCACTGTTTAAAATTAAAGCATGGTCATGTCTTGAAAGTGTCGCTGCCACACCCCGATCAAAGTTAAGCTGCAAACCAGTTCCGGCTTGGCCTATGAAAAACTGTAACCAGGCCACTTAACGACTTGCATAGCAATTGATATAAACTACTGGTAATTGTCCAACTTCAGGTGAGTCAAGCAATGGATATTTTACCGTTGTGCAGAATATCCCAACAAGGGGATGTAGCTCAGATGGTAGAGCGCTCGCTTAGCATGTGAGAGGTACGGGGATCGATACCCCGCATCTCCAAGGGAAATTTATTTTTTTCGTGCAAAAAACAACTACAAGCTCTGGCGAACAAAACACTTAAAACAATTAAAAACCTAGAAATAAATACATAAATTTTCCAACGACACGAGAACAGAAATGGCTTAACTAGCTTAGACGGCAAACTTTGTCCTGGCACAAAACCGGAGGAAAAACAAAGCCAAGCTGCGGGGGAAAAAATTAAAACAAAAGCCTTTTGCTCATAAATAGCACATCATGTATCATTTACAACACCCATCTCAGCTACCTCAGTCCGTGTCGTGGTGTATCCGTAGCTGCCTGGGGCGTCCTGGGACCGCGTTTTCCGTCCTCCTGTACAGACTCTGCTGCAGAGTCGGAATCCAACTGAGTCGACTGTGCTGACTGCTGCTGTGGCTGTCTGGTTAATTGCTGGCAAAGTTCTCTGCGATGCAGGCAAGTAAACAAACATTGGCATATTGTCCTGATTTATGTGCGACAATGTGTTCCCTCAGCCATCACCACAGCTTTTGGATTACACAGTGAAAATATTATATAAAATATTTGCAACTTACATACGTAAAGTGTAATCTGAAACTTACACTTTACATCAATCGATTCACAAAATGGATGCAAGCTTCTAATTTCTTTTGCCTTTGTTTCCAAAAGAAATGTAATTAAAGTGAGCTAAGTTAAACCCGAAATGTTATACAAATTTGCAATAAAATTCATAAGCGACATAAGCGATTTCTTATATATTAACTAAGAGAAGTTCTTCACTAAATGGATGCAAAGCTTCTAATTTCTTTGCCTCTGTTTCGATAGAAATGTAATAAAAGTGAGCTAAGTTAAACCCGAAATGTTATACAAATTTGAAATAAAATTCATAAGCGACTTCTTATATATTAACTAAGAGAAGTTCTTAGTGTAAAGTATGTGATGAGGGCGCAAATCAAATTACGCGTCTTGATTGCCGACATGGGGCGGCATTGGCATCTAAGGGATGTGGATATACTTCCATGGATAATGCTCGCTTGGCAGCTACAAAGCAACCTTTGAATATTCATTAGTGGCAACTTCTTCCCGGACATAAGCCTCAGAATGCAAAAGACAAAACTGCCGACGTCTGCGTATTTTGGCATGTCAAACAAAAAAAGGGAAATAATCCAATTGGAGATGCGGGGTATCGATCCCCGTACCTCTCACATGCTAAGCGAGCGCTCTACCATCTGAGCTACATCCCCACATGCAACAAATTCAGTCCAAGTGTCCAAAAAAGGTGTTCGACCAAAGTGCAAGACAAGCCAAATTAACATTTGGCCAAGAGAAAGGCAAGCTGTGGTCAGGTTTTGATTCGCTTTGGTAGCTATTTTCGGGTGTTATTTTTGCTGGTTTGGTTTTGGTAAAGTCATCACAAATTGCATTTGTAGTAAACTGTTAAAATACTTTAAGTTTTCTAAGACGTCGCATTACATTCCTTTTGTAAGGTAGCGAGTAAACAAATATATTTTAAAAGCCGTATCCAAATTAAAATATTTTAATATGGCATATTAAGAGGCATTGCTAATGCAATTTGCTAACAATTTAAGTACCAATTCCATGGGGCATTGCTGCCAGTCATTTAAAATGATAGACCTTTGGCGGACAGATATAGTTATACTCCTAGCACTTTGGTACAGATGCATAACAATCATTTCTAAAGTTGAAGAATACTACAACAACTTTTACGATATAGCTTATACAGAAGAATTTATCTTAAAAAGTTGTGTTATTAAATAGTGTGAACAAGTTTCTTTAAGTAAGATAAGATTATAGAATACATGTTACCATAACGTGAAAAATAAATGTTATACTTATTTTAAGTTAAAAATTAATTGTGTTACTCATTTATGTTGAAATGCCTTGAGTAATTTAATAAAATCTATTCTGATTACACCCAATGTTCCATAAGAAAGTAAACTCTTGATTTCAGCTATTTATCTTTAAGAATTTATCCAAAAAACCATTTAAAAATTGCAGCTTGCCGAAAAGTTTCCAAAGCTTCCCGCATAATCAACTCTGTCCCTAGGAGTTTTTGCAGGGAAAAAGACTCTATGAAACGGCAAAAGTAAGAAATAACAAACAAACAATAAAATATTGGGCACATTAATGTTTAGTCAGACGTAAAATTACTTTTAAGTCTACTTCGAGCTGTGGCCCAAAG